CCAGCAGTTGATCCTCTTCTTGCACAGACATACTAGATTCGCTTGGTTTGTTGACAAAAGGGTCGTGGATCCATTCTTTACCAGTTTGTAGGTCTTTTGCGGTTGGGAAGTAGCGCTCGAAGTTTTTTAACACCAGGACATGCACCAACTGTGAGAATGAATGCTCAGCCTGAGGCCGGCCCGACGTATTTTTGGCATACTCTTTTAAATATAATCATTAAAGGAAAAACTAGTTATTGGGTAATGAGTTTATTACCTATGTTTTTATTAAAACAAACACTGAACAATAAAGTTGATTTTTTTAAACTTGTATTTGAACAGTATGAACAATCAGCTCACTGACTGGTGACATTTTTTTTTAGCCTTTAGATCAGAACATCTTTTTTATTGCATTTCTTTTTTTCTTCCATGGCGCCAAAATGCAATGCTTTTTCCTACTTTTGAAGATACTTGATGGTGCCCAAAGCACTCACCGTGAACGTAAAGTTAGAATACCGTTTCTCAACCCTGGACCTGAGGTTCACGCTTCACTATAATAAACGAAGGGAATTTAAATATTTTCTTCTGAGGTGCCCTTATGGCTATGGCAGCCTGTGCGAGGGCATAGGTCGCACATCCTAAAGGCTGGCGTTGGCTCAGTCTCGCCTAAAATCCCCGGTAATGTTTGAAATATATTCAAAATGCCTCTGTTCACGCGCCGTCCCCACAACGCCAGTTTGGCTTTAAATGCAGCTACTTTGTCTGCCAACTTGAAAACAGTTGTCATTCTCCCCTGTAGTGACAGATTGAGTTCAGTGAGCAGGCTGAATATGTCACACAGGTAAGCCAGTTTTGCGAACCATACCTTGTCACTGAACTATGTTACCAGCTGTGACTTCTTTTCTGAGAGAAATCTTTGCAATGGTTCTCGTAATTCAAAAACACTGGTGAGCGATTTGTCTCTGGATAACCATCTTATTTCTGTGTACAAGAGAAGGCATCGGTGCTCTGTGTCCATCTCCTTACAAATCTGCTCAAACAGATGTGAGTTAAGGGTGTGTGCTTTGATATGGTTAATAACTTTAACGACATCAATCAATACGCTGTTAAATTCCGGTGACATTTTGCGGCTTTCCAGTATTTCCCTGTGAATGATGCAATGCATTCATTCACTCTCAGGTGCATCCTCCTTAATCCGAGCCATTACACCAGACGGGGCATGGCAGAAGCTCCGTCTGTTCATATGCCGACACAAAAGGACCGTTTTAGTTGTCCTTATTTATATAACCATCCAGTGACTTGTACAGTTCTGCTCCGTACTGCGGCCCGGGGTTTGGGGACCACTGCCATAGAGGAATAAGATCCTAATGGGGAGCGAGATCCATTAGTATACTGGAACCCATCGGTAACGCGATCCCATCATGTAACAGGATCAAACCAGGATCAGGATCTTATCGGGAAACAGGATAAAATTGGGAAAGAGGTGAAACGGGATCCCATAGAGAATGGTATCCTAACAGGATCGGTAGCCCACAGTCTGAATCGAGATACAGATGGGATCGGGATCCCACCAGGATCTGGATTCCCCCTGGATCCGGAGCCACAAGAAAATTGGATCCCACCAGGATTGGGATCAACCTGGAAACGGGATTGTGCCGCGATCGGTGTCAAAATGGGATTGGGGTCCCATTGGGATCGAGTCACACCAGGATCAGGGTCCTAATGAAATCCCGGGCCACACCGGGTATATCGGCTAGTATATCATATATAAATATAAAAGTGAACGTTTGTTTGTGGGTTTGTGTATTTGCTTGTTCCACAAAGGCTTTTACATGGACTGATGGATCTTGACCAAACTTGGCACATATATTCATCATGATCCAGAAGGAACTCTTAAAGGGTTATGAAGTTTTTATAACATTCTGTTTGGGGATGGGGGCCCTGAATTCGTTTTCTTCCTTATAAGAGCTATATAAATAAAATTAACAACAAATACTCCTACATCCATAGATGGATCTTGACCAAACTTAGTACACATGCACTTGATTATCCATACTAAAAAACCAAAGGGTACTGACCTCATATTATCCACCCCACTGGGGCTGGGGGCCCCGTTTCATTTTTTCTTATATAAGCCATTTAAATAACAATAGGCTTAGACAACACTATTGTTTCTATGTGAATTGATGGATATAGGCCTAGCGTTGTAGCAATACGATTAATTGTCCGTATTGAAATATCGATGGATTTAAAACTAATAATTTCCATTCTAGAATTTTCCAGAAAGTTCGATTATTTAAAAAATCTATATCTATGGCATTTTTAAGTAGATTTTAATGGGATCAATTTTAAATTTTAACTCTATTATATCTGTCTGATATTTGTAGGGCCCTTCTCGCAGGCATAACTTAATTGATACAGTTGTGGGATGCCCCCCGCCCCCGTGCCCCTTGATTAACTTAAAAGAAAATGGTGTATAATTATGACATTTGTTGAAGATTTCTATCGGATTCAAAAAATAATTAGAAAAGCAGTTTTACACATGTTTTGAGCAGGTTAATAAATTTAATCTAGAATATTCCAGAAAACTCTAAATTGTTACAAGGAGATATATAGTGGGATTTAAGGAATTATTGAAATGCCATCCTTTAATGCCGTCTATACATACTATCACTACTATCAGCGGAATCGTAGATACTTCGATGAAACAAGGGAGACTACTATTTTTTTTGTATCGGAAATTGGCGTCAGCGTAGAAAAATCTGAGTTTTTAATTTTCCGATGTGTGTGTCTATTTATTATTAAATTAGTTCTTTCCACATATATTTGAGTTCCGTTTCCGGCCTTATAATTTGGAAGACATCTTGGCCTACATTTCTAGCCAGCTATTTTGCTTTTTTCAATCGACCTTTATTTTGAAAATCTTTGGTATATATAAGGCATCTTCGCATACAAAATTTTTTGTGAAATAATAAGATAAGGTCCTTTTTTATTAAATCTGTATGAGCATTAGATATTGATCTATATCTGTGCCAAGTTTCATTGATGTAGGTCGTGTCCCACGTTTGTTACACTTGTCACAGTGACCCATATCACCATAAGGTGGCTCAGCCTAATTTCGACATGGCTTGGGCCACGCCCCCTTTTTAATGGCGGAAGTTGCCGATACTTAGGAAATATTTAATTATTACCACTATATACATCAAAATATTTTATATTTTGTGTTTCAGAATGCATTTTGAAGACATTTAAACTTGAATATTTTAATTTGAGCTTTAAAAACCCGATGGAGTCCATATTATAAATGATCAGAATTTTCCCTGTGCAACACATTGTCATTGGCAACCATTCACAGCCACTTGCATAACAGCTACATCGTAGTACTATCTCAGAGTTTCATTCATAAGAGTTTGCCGTGTGCAAAAGCTATTAAACCATTGGTCAGGGAAAGCTTTTATTAATTATTCATGTGCCAAAGTTGAAAGTTTAAAATAAGTCGACCCTAAACAGTATTTTAGCCATAGGGAATGCGTTGCCTTATATAAACTATATAGTCATTGCGCATGACGCGATCAGTGGAATGAGGTCACAGAATGTGGAGATGCAGTCCATGTTAAAACATGACAAACCAAGTCGTACTTTAAAAATTCATAACTTTAAAACTACAACAGCTAAAAATATGATTTTGGTGTTATAATTCTGTTTAAAATTAGATCTATTCAACTGTGCCATTGGTTTATTTTTAAAAAATGTTTACATTTTTGACCAAAGTATCTAGCAGAATCGGGTCACAAAATGTGGAGGTCAGTCCATACTGGTCCATGTCCATAGTGACCAAAGTAAATAAAATTAAATTTACCAAAGAACTTGCACTTTACAAATTCTGGTATAGTATAGAAAGTATAAAGCTATAAAGAAAGTTAATTCAAGTTTTGGTTTTATTATTATTTAATTATTTTATTTGAAGTTTGATCTGTACAACCGTTTGTAAATTTAAAAAAAGTGCCGTTGTATTTTTATAAATTTTTTCCTGTTAACTGGAGTTATCGACTTCTGCATGAGCGCATTCTTTTAAGCATTGAAAAAATAAAACTTAAAATACCGTTACAACGTCCTCTCCTCTAGCATCCTCAACAGTAATGCGTCGAGTGCTTACACTGCCACCCATTTGTTTGTTTTTTATTCAATGAATACCCTTCACTATTTTGTTTTACTCTATTTTTCTCCAATGACCGGCGGAAGGAGGTCAAATATGTTTTTGTAATTTTCCTAAGTAGAAGATGACATTTCCAAAGAAAGCTATAAATACGTAACAATGAGTTGATTAAGAAACAACAATTTCATTTCTATTGTCGCTTCACTTTCAAATGTCTTAGAGTTATATAGCATTAAAAAATAACATTAGGGGCTTTAGAAACTATATCAGCAGAATAAATTGTTTGTCTCAAGCATATTTAGGCTAAATTTTAAAATGTTTCTTAAGATTAGCACCTGACCTGATGGCAGGACTAGGGTTAAAACTTCATATTTAAAATGATATTATTATAATTATATTATACGGAATAAACATTATAACCGATTAAAAATATAAGTTACTGCATTTCAAATTTTAAAAAATTTATTCTTCTCAAATACATATGGGAAAAAAGAAATGAAAATGAGGACTGTCTTCGTTTTGTTGTTGGCCTTCAGCTCAAATAAATATCCTAGAAAACATCACTGCTGCGTTGATAATAGTAGTTAGAGTAGTAATCATATCCTTTTTCTCCATTGGAAATTTTATTCGGATAATATGAATATGGCCAATACAAAGAATTTAGTTTTTTTATTTGGAAAATTAGCTGAATTTATTTGATGTGTTATATGCAATAGGATGATTAATATATATATATTATATAAATGTACTAGAAAAGGCCTAATAATGAGTTCTAGTATTTCTGTAAGCCGATAATATTTTTTTTAAAAATAACCGAAATTTGAGTACCGGTATTGAAATAATTGGGCTTGGGACTAGGAAGATCGATTCCGCCCAGCATCGCAGGTTTATTAATATTGTCCAAGAAAATGTGCACTACAGCTGATACAATTCTATTATAATTGTGAGCCAATAATTATGCTTTTGTTAATGTTGAGTACAATGTTAATAGCCGGACTTTGAAAGATATTGATTGACCTTAGGATGTAAAGGCTAGAATTTTAAGTTAACCGTTAAAACATGTTCATGTATTTTGTTGTTGCATTGCAACAACAAAAATGCATGAAACAAAATGGCGCCGATGAATGTTTTTTTTTTTTTTAAATACTATTCCCCTACGCCTTTATTTTCATTTTTTCTTGAAATTTTTAGCCTAGGCTACTCTTTAGAAGTGTTGAACAACTCTAAAAATTTTTGAAAAGCTAGTATTATTTATTATAACATTTTATTTTGGTTTGAGTTTGACCAATTTTCACATGGGTCAGTCACAGTAGATACTGTAATCTACCACTTGACACTTGAGTAGATACTTTGGTCAAAAATTTAAACATTTTGTAAAAATAAACCAATGGCACAGTTCAATAGAGCTAATTTTTTACAGAATTATAACACCAAAATCATATTTTTAGCTGTTGTAGTTTTAAAGTTAGGAATTTTTGAAGTACGACTTGGTTTGTCCTATGGACTGCATCTCCACATTCTGTGACCTCATTCCGCTGATCGCGTCATGCGCAATGACTATATACTTTATATAAGGCAACGCATTGCCTTATCACTAAAATACTGTTTAGGCTCGACTTAGTTTAAACTTTCAACTTTGGCACATGAATCATTAATTAAAGCAAACTCTTATGAATGAAACTCTGAGGTAGTACTACGATACAGCCATTTTGCAAGTGTCATGCAGTTCGCTCAACCTAATTTCACCATGGGGTGGGCAACGCCCCCTTTTTAATGGCAGAAGTTGCCAATACTTAGGAAATATTCATTTATTACCACTATTTACATCTAAATATTTGGTAACTTGTGTTTCAGAATGCATTTTGAAGACATTTAAACTTGAATGTTTTAATTTGAGCTTTAAAAACCCGATGGAGTCCATATTATAAACTATCAGAATTTTTTGTGTGCAACACATTGTCATTGGCAACCATTCACAGCCACTTGCATAATGGCTGTATTGTAGTACTACCTCAAAGTTTCATTCATAAATAAGAGTTTGCTGTGTGCAAAAACTATTAAACCATTGGTCAGGGAAAGCTTTAATTAATTATTCATGTGCCAAAGTTGAAAGTTTAAACTAAGTCGACCTTAAACAGTGTTTTAGTAATAGGGGATGCATTGCCTTATATTAACTATATAGTCATTGCCCATGACACGATCAGCGGAATGAGGTCACAAAATGTGAAGGTTTCGTCCGTAGTAAAAAAATACCAAACGAACTCACACTTTAAATATTCGTAGCTCAAAAAGTACTTAAGCTAAAAAAATGATTTTGATTAATTCTGGTTTCATTTTTTTGCTTGAAATTTGCTCTAAATCACTGTATGATCAAAAAAATTATTTTGAATTTCTTACTGAAGTACCTACCTGAGTATCATGCATGTGTAGTAGGTACTTGAGTTTACTTAGGTACTTTCCTCCACATTTCGTGACCCTCATTTTGCTTTTTTTTAACACCAATTACTTATTTATAAAATGAGGAAAAAGTATAATATTTACAGGGAACATAGTTTAATAAGAGTACTTCTAAATAAAGCCACAAAATATCAGATAGTTTTTGTTAATATTCTGCAAAAATTTTTTTTTTAAATCTTGATTTTTTCCTTTTAAAAAAATTTATCAAATATGCTGACTCGTCACTTATTTGAAATTAATTAATTTTTTAAAATATTTTTTTTAAATTTCCCAAAAATCATAATATTAATATTCTTTAGATATAAATTTCACTAATTTTTTGTGGACCAAGAATTTTTGTGCATGACACGATCAGCGGCATGGAGTCACAAAATGTGGAGGTGTATTCCCTAGTCATAGTAAATAATACCTCATGAACTCGCACTTTAAAAATTTGTAGCTCAATAAGTATTAACGCTAGAAAGTTGAGTCTTGTTTCATTTTTTTAATTTAAAATTGGCTCTTTCAAACCATAATATTTCAACTTTTTGTTTTTCTTTGAATTTTTTATTTTTTACCAAAGTGCTTATTAAATTAGATCTAATAATAATGTGAGTGTTAGACTCAACTCAGTCAACTGACTGGAAGTATTATCCTTCGACTGAGCCTACTGAGAGCACACTACTATTTTCTAGGCAGTAAGCCTAGTATTATCATGACCATTAGGGGTGTGCCGGAATCCGATCCGGTTCCGCCGGATTTTGCACTATCCGGTGAAATCCGGTTCCGCCGGATTTACATGTATCCGGAACAACCGGAATATACCGGATTTCGGAATTTGCCAGATTTTGTGACTCACCGGATCATAATCTGAAATAAAAGTAATTCTCTTTCCCGAATTCCACACGATCACGATACATTAATCGATTGTTTCGAGCGTTGAGCTTGTTTAATGTTTAATATTCCGTACATACCAGAGGCTAGAGTCAGCACCGCTAATAGTGGCCAATAGTGTAGGGACTTTGATAAGAAAATTTAAACTTTTTGTAAAAATAAACCAATGGCATAGTTGAAAAGATGTAATTTTTTAAAGAATTATAACACCAAAATCATATTTTTAGCTGTTGTAGTTTTAAAGTTATGAATTTTTAAAGTACGATTTGGTTTGTCATTTTTTAACATGGACTGCATCTCCACATTCTGTGATCTCATTCCGCCAATTCCGTCATGCGCAATGACTATATAGTTTATATAAGGCAACACATTCCCTGCCTTATCACTAAAATACTGTTTAGACTTAGTTTAAACTTTCAACTTTGGCACATGAATTAATTAATTAAAGCTTTTCCTGACCAATGGTTTAATAGTTTTTGCACACGGCAAACTCTTATGAATGAAACTCTGAGGTAGTACTACGATACAGTTATGCTAGTGGCTGTGAATGGTTGTCAATGACAACGTGTTGCACACGGTAAATTCTGATCATTTATAATATGGATTCTACCGGGTTGTTAAAGCTCAAATTAAAACATTCCAGTTTAAATGTCTTTAAAATGCATTTTGAAACGCAAGTTATCATTTATTTTGATGTAAATAGCGATAATAAATTAATATTTCCTAAGTATCGTCAACTTCCGCCATTAAAAAGGGGGGCGTGGCCAACCCCATGGCGAAATTAGGTTGAGCGAGCTGCATGACCTGCTGCGAACGCGTAGAAACATGGCGTCTCTCGTAAGACACTTATCCAAATGGAACGGAACTCAAATATATATCGAAAGTACTAATTTAATAATAAATAGAAACACACATCGGAAAATTAAAAACTCGGATTTTTTGGCGCCGATTGCGAATTCCCATACACAAAAAGTAGTAGTCCACCTTGACTTACCGAAGTATTTACCAATAGTACCAAAATCCGGGAGAAAACGGAATCCGGATTAATCCGGATCCGGCGGATTTCGCATAAGAAAATCCGGATCCGGTTGGAAAAAATGGATCCGGCACACCCCTAATGACCATGTCTTTGTACTTTGCCAAAAGTGTTTAGGCCCATATTCTACATGTAACATCTTAATATTTAATATTCTTAATCTTGAACCAAGGCAGCAAATGCTGTCTCCATTCTTTAATTTCATCACTTAAGACATATATACTACAAATGGCAATAGGCTATATCTTCTGTACTAATTGATTATTCTATTGTATCAGGGTCGCTGGTCACTTGGCTTCTATAAAATAGGGTTGCAATTCAAATATGGTTAGGAGTTAGTGAACTATATTATTAGGCCTGTTCAAGGCTAGCAAGTTTAGATGACTAAACAATGTGAACAGATTGATGTAGAATGTAAAGCAATTTATGTAGAAAATGATATTGAGTCTCTTAAAGTTAATGCTATAATTGAAACACATTTTAAAATTGAATAATAGTATGGGTACATCAACAGTACATCTGGTAGGCCTGAGAAAAATTAGATCTAAACAGGGTTTGTTTCTGTTTAACTTGCTTTATCCTAACACTAACCTAGAAGCTGGGCATCAGATTTATAATTGGCAGAAAAAGAACTAAACAGAGATAGCAATGCATTAGGCTGATGGGGATTTAAAAGGATACCCAATTTCTGGATAAAAAAAAATTCAGCAAATAATTTTTTTTCTTTTCACACAAAACAGAGAGTTGGGGGGTGGCGCTGGTGAAAATAATATATTTTGTTTGAAATCATATTGTTAAATTAAGGGTGCAAATAACATAAAAACATGAAAAATTTGTTAGGGTAGGTAGGGCTAGTTTAGCCATATTTTTTTTTTTTGTAAATCAGAAGCCATACTTGTTAATTAAAGTGTACCCACTGCTCTGTAAGACTTTCCATGCATGTAATTATATCTATTAAAAAAAATTCAATTATCAGATTTTTTTTATCATCCACCATACTTCTTTTTTCTTCTCTCTCCATAAAAGGTCATGGATAAAAAATTTTTTTAAACTTGTAAAATATTTATTAAAATTTATCAACAGGTGAAAATATTTGCCAGTTTACGAGACTTCATTAGAAAGAAATAGAGACTACACCTTAAAATAAAACGAGAAAAAAAACAACAGCTAAATGTTGCTGCTTCTATCTTTTAAGACTTTTAAGGATCATGTCTCATCTAAAACGATCTCATTTATCAGCTTATCAGGTTTATTTATCGTCTGATCATTCCAAATCAAACCGCCATAAACAACATTACATTTCTAATAGTGACTTATCTGACAGATTCAGTGCAACTGAAAGTTCTAGTAGAAATATAAGGAAATCTAAAAACTCTGGTTCAAGAAGTTTAAAAAAGAATAGAAGCCTGTATGATTCTGATGAAGAGGTTTTAAAAGTTTACTCCTCTAAATCTCTTGAAAAAGGTACAGGATCATTATCCAATTCAAAGAAAATGTATTCAGCAAAACATCAAAGTCTTGATAAAATGTCAGATGCTCTATCTCGTAGAAATGATAGAAAAGAACGAAGTTTGGAAGGGGAAGTCAAGTCCACCCAGTCACTCATGGATATTGATTTTAGTCATGGGCGTGATATTTCCTCTGGCAATGTATCAAAATGGAAGGATGTATCATCACATCATGAACACTCTTCTGAAGAAGATCATTCAGAGAGGAGGAGTGATTGGAAGAGTAATCACAAGCTCAGCAAGTATTCTGATTCGGAGGAGGAGGAGGAAGATTTCTGGAACAAAGAAAAGGCTGAAAGAAACAGGCGTGCTTGGAAGGAATCTACCACTATGACCCATTCTTCTAGTTCGTCTAGACATGCACCTCTCATAGTGGAAATGCCAGAAAGGTTGGACAGTAATGGAAGCCGGAAACCAAAACCATTATTGGAAACCTATGTTTCACTCCCAACAAAGAAACCTGTAAGCCTACTAGATTTACCAAGCAGAGGTGGAGATGGATTTAAGCGCAAAATTAGCCCTAGGCCAAGACAGACACATCAAAAAAACAGATCAGAGAGTAACTTGTCCAGTTCACGAAATGCCACTTCCAATGAAGAAAGACCACCTGGAAAAAAGCAAAAGCTTGATAAATCTATAAATGATGCAAGAGATAATTCTAATAAAGAGTCAAATAAGTAAGTTTTTTTGTTGTTGTTATAAGCTAACTGTCTAGAAACCCACAAATTGTTGTTATTTTGTTGGGGGAAAAGTCATTTGAGCTTTACACATTATTCAGTTCATGTTCATAATTAAATGATTTGCCAAAGCAGAGTTCAAATCTTCAGCTCATGAAGAGTTTTAACAAAACTTTTGTGCCTACTAAGTGCGAAAGAAAATGCTTGGTGTTTAAATTTTTCTCAGTTGTCATCTGCATTCCTTAACTCCTAAAATATAGTCAGTATACATTCAAGGGTTAATGTCTTTCTAAGTAAGTTAAATCAAATTTTTTCATGAGCTTCTTCTCAATTGCTTATAGTATTATTTTATCATTTGATTGATAATGTACTGCACTTTTCAGAATAACTATTTGCAAGATAAAAGGACACACTTTCCTACTTATACCCGCATCATCTTCTCAAGCATATATTCATGGTCGGGCCAAGATCACCGTTTTGCTTGGGAACGTCAACATTCTAGCCTATAAATTGCATATAGGGACCACCTACGATGTGTATTCCCCTGCATCTTGCAGTTTACTTGCCATGAATATTAATGAAACCCCTATCGTCCAATCAGCAGAGGTAAAAAAAGTGCTTTCAAAATATGGCGTACCAGAAAATGATAAAGATGTAAGTAGTATAGTTTTTTTAAACAACACTAACTGTAAGGTACAAAGTAATTTATGGCAAGCCTAACATAATGTAATGAGCGAAACGCAGTAAAGGAAAAACTGAAAAAGGATGCAACAAAACAACGAAAGTGTTGGCAAGAAGCACAGTAAAAACAAAATAATTAAATTAAAAAAAAAAAATTTTAGCTGCAATGTAGTACCTGAGAGGACAGCAAGAGCAATGTGCAGTCCACTTTTTGAAAACTTATCCCTGGGAATAGATTAAATAGAGAGATTTTCAAAATACTTGAATATTTAAATTAATTTAACAAGTTAATGCATCTAGTGAACAGCATCTTAATGTGCTTAACCCAATATTTTGTTAAATTTAACTGTTAGAGGTTTGTTAGGTATTTATCTTATTTTATATTTATATCATAAAGATAAGGAAAATGATTGACTAGCCACTTAACTTAAATGTGTAAACCTTCATTAAGTTTTTTAACCACAATATCATGTACATTTATTTTACCAACAGTGGTGTCGCTTGAATTTTAAAAAAAACAACAATGTAATCTATTAAAAACTAATAACATACTCCTATCATTGGTTTCAGTTTTCAAACATTGGGACCAAAACAATTTCTGTTATCAAGGTGGACAAATTAGCATCAGTGGTGTGTGACTACATCACAAATTTTATTCCATACACTCAGCTGTTTAGAGCAGCACCATCTAGGGATATTGAGTCCTCCAGCTTGAGAGGTGTCACCCTTGCCAAAGTGGGTTTGAAGGTGGCACCACTCAAAGAAATGGTCTCATCATGCATGCATATGTCCCCTGAATATGAAGATGTTCTAGCCCAGTGGTCCACAAAACTTTCTGATTGGAACGGAGGTAATTACTATTTTAATAAAGCATGTGCTTAAAGTTTGCTTCACATCTTTCAGCAACTCTTTGAGCAGATTTCTGATGTATTCATAGCAACTTAATGAGGTTTTTTTTAAAAATCAATTTAAATTATTAGCTTTTCTTCATGCCTAACATAATTTTAAAAAATCTAAGTTCCTCGGGTAAGTTTTTGTATTTAAAATTTTGCCAAGTGTTTTACATAGGCTAAAGTAAATTCATTGTACGTTTCATACTTCTCAGGTCGAGCACCAATAGTTGTTTGCTGTGGTGCCAAAAACACAGGCAAATCTACATTTAACAGAATGCTCATAAATACATCGCTTAAAAGGTACAGTGACTGATTAACCTTTGAAGCTTCTGTATGTTAGGTTGCACCAAAAAGCTTATTGGGATATTGAATGGCCTTGCTACATACCTATTTATTATTTATTATTTCAATGGTTGCTTTACTTTAACAATTCTTATGTTATTAATTGTTGGTACTTTACTTTATTTCATTTATAATCACAATTCTTGAACTATTATTAACATCATGGTCAATTATGTGGCTTTAAACTTTTTACTTTAGGTATACTGTGCTGAGTCAAATGCTAGTGCAGTCCCATTAAATGAAGGTCTAATATTTTTGTGTAAGAAATGCAGAGCACTTGTTACCTGTAGTACAATGATTAGTGAACAATACAGTGATAAGTAACAGTACAGGGATCAGTAAACACTACAGTGATGAGTAATTGCCCATTACAAGCTATTTCTGTTTGAAAAAAACAAAAACATATTCTATCATCTTTACCAGACTTTAAAGCTCAAGAACTTGATCTACAGTAAATACTTGTTTGAAGCAGACTTTTTGGGAAATATTTCAGCGGAATAAGTTATGCCCTTATTTTATAACTGCTATGATTGACTGTGTAGAGAGTATCAAAGTACTTTTATTGAATAATGAAATCAGATTCTCATATTTTACATTATCATGCCGTGAGTTGAATCTACTTTTAGAACAGGTGGAGGAACTCTCATTTTAATATTGTATTGTACCAGCACCTAACCTGCAAACTTGTTAATTGATATTTAAAATACATAAGGCAACCTAAAAATTTCTCTCCAAGAGATATTCATTTATTTTTTTGAAAATGTTCAGAATGGTTATACTTCAGATACGCAAAATGAGTTCCTTTCTTATACATTATACTGTATGTTAATTATTATAAGTCTTATACTTTTACTTACACAATAATTATTTGTAAAATTCTGGATTAAAAAATATATTTTCTTTAGGTACCCTAACCGTCATAACGTTAATTTTAGACCCTTCCGATTTTGTCGGAATTATACGGAATTTTTACCCCTCGTTTTAACCTTCCGACAAACCCCTTAAAATTTCAATTTCCCAAACATTATAATTTTTCACCCATCATAAAAATCTGAAAACGACCAGAACAAAAAAAAAAATTTAAATAAAAAGCAGGTATGACAGGAAGTGTTGCATTTCAATGATGCCACTTCCTTTGTTTTTATCGAAGCGAACCGCGATCTCCATATCATTCTTCATTCATCAGTTGATCCAATTGTTATTCATCCTTTTACTAGGCTAAAAAATAATTCAGTTGTGTTGTGACTTTTTTTTTGTTAAAGCTTTTCTTAATTAAATGGATAAATTTGTAAAGAGATCTGCTTATAAAGCTTTTCTAGTGACTGAGGTTGAGAGTGCTAGTGCTCCAAACAAAGAAAAAAAGTCATATTCAATGTTTTCAAAAGGAGTAATCGGAACAACATTTATTCCGCCATCACCCCGTGGTGAAACATTTGCATTCTACAACCTGTGTCAGACCCATGTATCTATTGAAAGGGGTGGGTACAATGATATTATTAAACATATTTTAACCAAAAAAATATTAAACTGCAGCTAAAAGCAGTGAATCTACGACATCCATGTCTGACTTTTTTCAGGTTAAGCATACCTTGTTCTTGTATTTCATTTACGTGACACAACTTGAATGCAGTCTATCAATTATTATCTAATTTATTTGCTAAGGAATCGGACAATTCATTCATCAGATCGCAAGTTTTATTTACCACCTTTCTTATTGAAGGAAATACTTCTTCAGAAGTAGTTAACTCAACCAGGGGAGCTAAAAAGTGGCACATGGTGAAAGCCTACTAAAGTCCTGTTAAACCATTGGTTACAGCTATGCTTCCTGTGTGCTGCATTCCTCTTTTGTGCTTGAGATATTAGGGTTTGGCGACATAAAAGAATCAACATAACCAATGAGAAAATGCTAAGACAAAGAGAGAATTTGTCGGTTCCACTTCAAAAACATCGACTTAATAGGGTTTGCTAGTTAACTGCGGTCGAGTTAAGTGGGTTCGACTGTATTTATACCAACTAAAAATTTTTTTTCAGTCTTGATGCTGTAGCATTCCTGGATTGTGATGTTGGTCAGTCAGAGCTCTCACCCCCTGCGACTTTATCCCTTCATATTATCAGACAGCCAATCTTGGGTTGGTTGATTATTCTTGAATAATTTTATAGGTTTTATTATCTTTATAACGTAATTAAAATATCTTGCCAGCAGCTTGTTAAGATGTTCATAATATTTTGACCATGATAAAATTGCCATTATTTTCAAGTTACTTTAAATTGACTAGAAGGATGTTGATGATTGATTACTGCTTTAGCGATTAATGATTTAAAAATATAATAATAGAATTTAAAGCAAACACTTTAAAAACTATTTAGTGTTTATAGACAGTTTTAAATTATCCATGAAATTATGTTAGTAACATTGTCTTGAAAAACTTAAAATATATATTCTTTTTAAAACTTTATTTTTTTTACTAATATTTTTGTTAAGTAGTTCAATGATTTATATTAATAGACAAAAATTGTCTCTGTGGTAGCTACAGAAAGAAAAGTTAAAATAAGAAGTTGATCATCCTCCTTATAGCTTTACATGCTTATGTCATGGAAAGCCTACAATAGGGACACAATTTAATAAAATATGTTGTGGAATCAGAATTGTTTTCATTAATTTATGCAAATAGTAACTGAAGATATTTAAATTTCCAATATTCTTTTGGGTGACCTGTGTGGGACCTTTGCTCTACAGGGCTTGTCGCTTCTTTTTAATATTTCTTTCATGTTCCCCAGAGCCACCTTTCTGTCATCAGAAACAAGCTGAAAAGTGAGTTAATTTTCTTAAAAATTCAAATGTGACTGAATGAAATAGGCTTGTTTCAAAGCATTTTATTGATAACTTGTCAAGTTCATGATAAATCACTGTTAATGAGTCTATTTAAATTAGGTTAGTTAGTTAAAGATTAATGGACATAATTATTTTACACTCTACCTCCTTCACAAGTCAAGATACACTACCCTGTAACATGTTTGTTGTTTTTTTCCCCACCATTCTATAATTTTCATTTCAACTGGAACTGTATATTTGTGCATTAAATGTATTTCAGGATGGTATTCTATGGAGACACTTCCCCAACCCAGGATCCAGGCCTATATATTAAGTGCCTGAGACATGTATTTGAGACATACAAAGAGCTTAGCCCGAGTCACCCACTAATAGTCAACACAATGGGATTTCCAGAAGGTAACTTTTTAAAATAAATTTTTAAACTACTCTGAATACATTTTAAGCACAAGCTATTGCACAGATGGACACATTTGGAATTATTTAGGAGCTAAAAGACAGCACACTCTTTGTCATAAAATGCTTTTAGTTTAAACTCGAGAGAATAAATGCACAATTTTAGTATAATGAAAAAAATCAGTGAATTGGAATTGGAGAAATAAGATGATTTAATCACATTAAAAGGTGCATTGTTGAGTTCAATCCGTTTTGAAAAGGGTGTAAGTTGTCTTGTTGCATAAGCTCCATATATTGGCTCTTTTCATGCAGAAAATTTTCACTATTCACTGACATTGCTTCACCAGAATACCAAATGGCGTTAGTTGTACAAAAGGTAGAGAAAAGTTTGAGCCTTCGATAAGGAAAATGTTGAGACATTTTATTTAGGAAGTGTAACTTGACCACCTTTTATCTTCATTTAAATTATAATACCACGTTTGTGTGTGTGTGTGTTTTGTGTGGGGGGGGGGGGGGGATAAACTTTTTCAAAAGTTTAAGTTTTTTTTTTTTTACAAACTTTATACAAATGTTAAGCTTTTTTTTATTTACCTTAATCAAAGAGGGCAATATTACATAATGTGGGTCGCTAGAAAATAGGATATGTGGAAGAGCAATTTTAGGGAATAATAAAGAATATTTTGGTAATTATGAAATAAATTGAATGTGAGGCATAGCATTGTTTTTGGGTGACAATTTTAATGTATTCTGGAAGTACCTTAGCCGTTCTTAAGATATATTAAATTTATAATATGCCTTTTCAAAAAACACTATGTGGGTCACATAGTGAGTGCATTAATAATAATGTATTTTTACTTTTGTATAAGTGCAAGAATTGAAAAAGGGAAATGGGGGGGGGGGGTAGAAAAGGTTGAGAAACCCAGCTTTATATTTAAATAATTATTTATTCATTAATTGCACAATGACACAAATATAGCACTATTATTAGTAAAAGCATCGGAGTGCATCAATGAACAAATGAGAAGAGAAAAACTCATATAATTATAATTTTCATTTGAGACATTTTTTCCCTTCATTGTTGTGAACTTGCTTTGTGTCATTTACTTCAGTTCAAATACACATCTTTAGAAATTAATAAGCCTCATATTTATGTATTGTTTTTCTTCACGTTAACAGCTATCGGGCTGATGCTGCTGATCGATACAATGAACATTGTAGAGCCTGACCTGGTGATCCAGATTGAAAGCTTTAGCCAAGTGTTGAACTACCCTGCAATAACCCATGACCTTGTGGCCCTAGATGAAGGATGGAGCTACAACAAACTTCCAGTACTTGGTCTTTTTCATCAGCTTTTACTCTCCTTGGCCCAAACTGGCGGCTCAGTCCTAAAAGCAAAATGTGACTCCACTTGCTGCCAGACAAAGTTCAACCATGAAAGCCCCTATGGTCCCAAAACCCTTCTGTATCTATTACTTCAAATAGCCTTTTTTAAGATTCAGGCTGTTTTTGTCCCACCCAGTTCAGTGTACCCCATCCTTATATTCCCTTTGTATGTTTGGACCGTTATCTCTCACTTCAGTGTAGCCGTGAGGAGACCTGATTGAATCTACTTGAAATCTGTTTGTTTTACCTGGCAAGGTATCAAATACTAAAGAAGCCGAAGGTAGAATCATGTCAGTTGTGAAGTTTGACACATGAAGATGTAATCAAGGAACAAAGCTCAATTGCTCCTCCTCTTCACCTAAAACCCTGTCCTAAAAATAAGTATCTCCCTGACCCTCACAACCTAAATGCCACATAATCCTAGTCCCAATATGTGTGAGTATGTCCTGGTAGCTGACAGGTCAATGGAATCAAGATGGTGGCAGCTGCATCTTGCTAATGGAATCTAATAAAACAAGTTAACCCTCATACTTTGCAAGTTAAATTAGCTATAAAAGCTCATCTCAACAACTTGTTTTCGAGGGATATTGCTCATAGGCAACTCAAGCGGAGAAAATAATAAAACGTCACCCTGTGAAAAATACCCATCACCACCAGCCCCACCTCCTTATTCCCTTAGGACAGTTCCTATGTCCACAGAGAAAGCTTTTCAGCCCCTCTTATTTTGAAAACCCCAATAATTGAATAAACCCCTCACTTGAAGTCCACGTTATGTAAACCAAACCTGACAAGTTCCATAAGTTTGACACTTGACCTCCTGTGGTCCTGAATATTTCTTTTGTATGCATGCTCGCCAAGTCACCAGTCAAGACATTGCTCATGACAGTAGTTGCTCCACAAGCTGAGTCACCACAAGTCTTTGAGCCACATGCAGGTTACCTATCCCCCTATTTCCCCAAGTGCTGATGCACATTAAATGCCCATGTCCCACATATCCCATTACTAAACAGCTCACGTCGGTGGAGGTGTCTCTCAAGGTAGTTAGTCATTTTCAAATTTTTACTGCACATTTTTTTCTCTCATGATTTTTTAAAATATTTTTTTTTATGAGTTTAAAAATTAATTCTTTTATTTAACTGTTTGAATTGAACTAAGTTAACTATTTTCTAAAATAAGAACACTTTCTCTTTGAATAACAAGACCTATTGCTTGCATGTGGCTTGGTTTTTAATACAGTTTTTATAACTCTGTGCTCACTGTTTTGTCTAGAATGGCTGCAAAAAAAAAAAAAAAGCATAAGAATTTCATTTTTTAAAAATATTAATTCCACTATGCTTTTCATTTTTTTTTTTAAATCTCACAATATTCATATTGGGATATGTCATTTGGGACACAGATAAAATTTTTAATAAAGTTTTTATAACTCTGTGGTCACTGTTTTGTCTAGAATGGCTGAAAAAAAAAAAAAAAGCATAAGAATTTCATTTTTTAAAAATATTAATTCCACTATGCTTTTCATTTTTTTTTTTAAATCTCACAATATTCATATTGGGATATGTCATTTGGGACACAGATAAATTGAGGATGGATGAGTTCAGGTGTATTAGAGGTGCCTCAGTTGCTATGTCCAAAACATCTGTTAGACTTCTAAAAATTTGACCAGCAATATCTATTGCAATATAAAATGAGTAAAAAAAAGTAGGGTTCAACCTGAAAAAAGGGAAGCAACAAAACAACAAACGTGTTGGCAGAAAGCCGACAATATCTATTGCAGAATTTTAATAATAGTTTTTTTTGTTATACATTTATGAAGTTGCTTTTATATGTCAAATGTTCACTTTTTTTTTCAAATCCATAATAAAAGAATCAAAGTTAAAACCATTTTTAAGATAAAATATAAACATAACTGCGAATGCATTCCCTTTTAAACAAAGTGTTTTGAAGTTTGGTTGTTTTGCTCTCATGGTATATTGATTCAATATTTTTAGTGTTGTATAAGTTCACTAAGACTTGGAAGTCAAAATTATATTCTGCTTTGATATTATAGGATAATATCTTTTCCTTTTTCAGTGGGTTTAACAATTTCTGTGCAGTTACATGATATTTATTCTCTATTAATCTTGTTTGTCTACTCTGCAAACAAAGCATTTGTGAAAATATTTTTTTTAATTTCAAATTTTAATCTAATTTTATTTTTTTTCAAATTCAGTTTTTATTTTAAAACTTATTTATTTTACCTAACTCACTTTTTAAAGTTGAGTTAACACACACTTTTACAGTCAATGGGAGATAACACACTTTTAATGCCAATGGGAGATAACACTCTTTTAATGCCAGTTTGGGGGATGCCAGAGCTAAAATATCTGATGTGTGTTTCTGTTGATTTGTTTAGGTTGAGGATCCCAGCCAAAAGATATCGGAGACCCACGCTCATAAGCTGCTTCTATTGTCCACACTTGTCAGCCAACGAAGAGAGTAAGTTTACCTGTTTACCTCAAGGTCTGCATGGTGTTAGGTTGTAATCAGTGAAGTAAATTAGATTTTTTTTATCTTTCAGTAAAAAGTGCAGCAAGAATTGTCTTGTCACATTGTTAACTAATTTCATGCTAATGTCAAGTCTTAGTGTCTTCCAATTATCCCCAAGTCATACTGTCATTCTCTGCTAGGTGTCAATGTATTTCTAATATTATGTCATATTGTCTGCTCTGCTAGATTTCAATGTATATCTAATGTTATCTCAAATAGAAATTGTTTATGTTTTGTTGCCTCTGACTTTCAAGGGGAAAAGCACTAGACCAGCATAATTCGCGCAATTATTTTAATAAACCCTAAGCATTCTTAACCTGTGGCTCTAGTAGCCTTGCTTCATCTGTTCCTGAGCTCTACTAGAGTGATGGTTACTATATGCTAACTTGATTCATCTGTTTCTGAGCTCTACCACAGTGATAGTTACTATATGCTAACTTGATTCATCTGTTTCTGAGCTCTTCTACAGTGATGGTTACTATATGCTAACTTGATTCATCTGTTTCTGAGCTCTTCTACAGTGATGGTTACTATATGCTAACTTGATTCATCTGTTTCTGAGCTCTACTAGAGTGATGGTTACTATGTGCTAACTTGATTCATCTGTTTCTGAGCGCTACTACAGTGATGGTTACTATATGCTAACTTGATTCATCTGTTTCTGAGCTCTACTAGAGTGATGGTTACTATATGCTAACTTGATTCATCTGTTTCTGAGCTCTACTACAGTGATGGTTACTATATGCTAACTTGATTCATCTGTTTCTGAGCTCTACTACAGTGATGGTTACTATATGCTAACTTGATTCATCTGTTTCTGAGCTCTACTACAGTGATGGTTACTATATGCTAACTTGATTCATCTGTTTCTGAGCTCTACTACAGTGATGGTTACTATATGCTAACTTGATTCATCTGTTTCTGAGCTCTACTACAGTGATGGTTACTATATGCTAACTTGATTATTAACTTACCTTTTTTTTAAAAAAAAAAAAAGCTTCAGCTTTAAACTCAAGCCCGTTGATCTGCGCAACCTTTCTTTGCTGTCTGCCTTGTCCAGTGGACTAGAACGGAGCATGACCTTGACATCCTCACCCCCATTCACAGTTCCATACAAACTGCTCGGAATCCATGTATGCCACAACAGAGTGGTGCCGGAAGAAATTCTGAATGCTATAGACGCCAGTGTTGTGGCACTGTGTGTTGCTGACCTCTCACTGGTAAATCTCAACATTCAGTGTCTGTTTAATCTGTCACACTTTTATTTATTATGTGATTTTAGCTCTAAAAAATAAAAATATTGTTTATCCATCATAGACAACGCTATCTCTTCACTGTTCAAACTTCAGCTTTTGCAGTTATTGTATATTTTGAATCTGCTCTGCTTCTAGTAATCATGGCAAGTTTTATAAAAATAATATGTCTTATATTGCTTTTAGAATAGACATTTTTTGTACAAAAAAAATTTATGTTGAAAATTTTATTTTCAAATAAGAAAATGAGGTACCATAGCTTATCAGTAAACAAATACATTTTAATTAAATTAATTTTTTTTAAAGGCTATTAAAACTAATGATGAGCTGCCGTTGACCTTTGATGATATGCCCATATGTTCTTGTCTGGGATTAGGTAATTTTTTTTTTTCCTTTCTATTTTAAAACTTCTTTCTCTTTTAAAATATATAATAAAATAATGAAAGATATTTTAAAATGAACATAGAAGTTAAATAGTTAAAAAGGGAAAGTAAGATATAGATATAAGAAAGAAGGTAATAACATTCCTCATCAAGTTTTTTTTAAATGTATGTTCTTAAACTCGAAAAAATTCTTATGAAAATTAGATGCCTTAATTTATTTTATTTCTCCTCTCTGTCTTGTCACATATTTTAAAAAATCATTTAAGATTTTGTTATATTTTTAAAAAAAATAAGCGCAAAAAGCTTCCATTTAGTGATCTAGTAACATAACACCCAGAACCTTACAAAGTTTTAAGGAGCAGTTAAATGGCATTTTAAAAACATTGAGAAATCTTTTAAAATTTTGATTGGCATTGTTTTAAAACCTTGAATATTTGGTAATCTTTGCTTGTATGTGTGCGTCTATCAGGTATAGTTCGTGGTATTGACACAGCCAAAGGACTGCTGTATATTGTGACACCTCTACCCAAAGTGAGTCTCCGTAAAATGAACACCATACTGAAGGGCTCACTTACACTGCCTGATCAAATCATATTCAAACAGGTCAGCATATTTCATTATTACTCATCTCATTAGGAAATTAGATTTTTTTTATCATTAAATTATCCATTTGGTTAAATCTCATTTAATATTATCTCTTCAATAAAATTACCTTTGACCTCAATGAAATTTATCGAGTTGTAAAGAGTGTTTCTTGTGTTCTCCTTATAGAATTTGAAGCAAATGATTTTGTTGCACTCCCACCAGAAGGATCATGTTGCTAAATTTTATCAAAATTTTATTTTGGTTTGATCAAATATTTATTTTATATTGTAGAAGAGTTCAAGTCCAGTTCCTTATGTAGATGCCCTGGCACGATCAACTGCTGTTGCCTCAGTCAGACCAAGAGCTCGAATGCCAAGATTGTCTCTTGGGAAGCAGTGATTTTTCACAAGGACACCAATGTGTGTCAATTAGGGTATCAATGATTGTTCATTTTAAATATTATTTTATGAAAAGGTGTGGACAAGGAAATTCTGTTTCCAACTAAAAAAAGTTTTTTTGTTTGTCTTATCAGAACTGAATAAGCTTATGTTATTTTCAAAAATTAATTTGATGTTGTCAGTTGTTTTCATCAAAAAAAGTTAATATTATGTTTTGCATTTCTCTAAACGTGACAAATCGTTAAATGTGTCACAAATTGTCAAGAATGCAAGTTAATTTTTAATTTTTCTGTAATAAAATAATTTTTAATTCATTTAATTCATGTCATTGTTCTCTGCCATTTCACTGAAAATAATATTTGCTATATTATATGGTAGTGAAATTATTTTGTCCAATGCATTTAATATAAATATAATATTTTAGAAAAGACAACTGGGTGTCAATCATTAAATCTACCAATTTATAATTATTTTTTACAGAAAAAGAAAAATGTTAGACCTATATTGGTATAACATGAAAAATTAAATTGTTGCTTTAAAAAAAATTATTAAAAAAAATTATTGTTGATAAAAATATTATTGATTTAAAGTGACAAGAAAAATGGTGGGTGAGTTATATATGCATAATATAGCCCCTACTGTAGTTTAAATAGTATCTCCTCAGATCAGTGGTATTATTAGGTTTTATACTACTTCCGATAAGAATACAAAGTATTGTGTATTGTATTGTGAATATGTGTTCGGGTTGTGGATTCTAGTCCTATGGTCATCCCTTACCGCCACGACATATTTCTTTGGTCCCATCTTGTTACTGTTGTCATAAGAGTGTTGGACTGCGATAAAGCTTTAAAATAGATTAAATAGATGTGAACAATTTGTGAAATATAACATATGTTAAGCTTTAAAAATAATTTTACATAATACACAAGTAAACATTTCTATTTCAGCATATGCCTTCATCAGTATAACAACAAAAAATTTAAATAAGTATTAATTAAATTTACAAAATAAATAAATATATATATATATACGTGTATCCTACCTAAAAAAAAAAGAGAAAACAATAGGAGTGGGCACAAAACCCAGACAGAACAAAGTAAAGAAGAATGGAAAGGAAGTGATTTGAAATAAAATGTTAAAAAAAACAAACGGGAATAGACTCGGAAGCTACGCAATCATATTTGTGAGAATAAGTTAATGTTTAACAGTACATTACAAAATTTACTATTGCCGCTTCACAAAAATTGAAATTCCTGATTGATCCGCTTAGCAATGTTATCACATCCAAATCCAACTAAGATACTATTAACAGATTTTTGAAATGTTCATCTCATTGTAAAGGTTTTTTGAGCTGTTGTGTTAAAAGAAAATATTGTATGTGGGGAGAATGGTTGCAGCTAATATTGTATACAGGGAGAACGGTACTGCTAATGTCTTATGCGGGACAATAGTACAGCTAATATTGTATGTGGGAGGAATCTACAGCTAATATTGAATATTGTACGTGGGGAGAATGGGTACAGCTAATATTGCATGTTGGCAGTATGGGTACAGACTAACATATTTAGCAAGTAAAGGAGATTTGTGTTCATCCAAAGATGGACTAGCTGTAATTCCTGCCAAGTTTATAGTTAGATTTTGTTACAGAGATAAACAAACCATGACAGTTAGGTGATGAAGCAAATGGTTTAAGCCTATAGAATTCAGACTTAACTTTAAATGAAATCTTGCTGACAATTATTCCCAATTAGGAAAAATGCTGACTTTGCAGGATAGGAGTAATAGAAGAAAATCAAACTGAAATTTTGAAGTAAATTATGTTTAACTGCTTACTTATTTAACCATGTTAAATATTGTACATTATTTTCTTGTATATTTTTAACTTTTGATGTTTACCAACTTTTACATTTTTTCTTTCTCAAAGATGTCAGTAACTGTATTGAATATAGGTCATCACTGAGCCAATATCATTATCGGTTTCCATGTTAAAATTTCTTTAAATTTGAACTGACATATTTGAAGTAAACTTGTCTCATACTATCTCATATAGTTTTAGTTCATGCTTTTTTTTCCTATCTAAATCTCATCTCTCCGTTGTGCACATCAAGAAGGCTATATTGGAGATATTTGATATCAAAGTTGAATAAGATTTGAAAGCAAGTTTTTGTGATATAAGAATACTGTTAAAAAAATATGTGTGTGTTGACTGATGTAATGAGTGGACAGAGTCAACCTTTCATTTGTAGTTTTCCTAGAAAATAGTGGATGGATACATTCTTATGTAAATCACAAAAAGGAACTGATGCGTTGTGTTCAGTAGATTGGTTGTGATCTATGATGGAAATTTAATAATTGTTCCATTTTAATTCAAGAGTACTCTTGGACTCAAAGTATTTGCTAGCATGGTCACTTTTATAATAATATATAATTTTTGTGTACTCAGACAGCATGCTGATGCTGATAGTAATCCCTTGTTATGAATGGGACTGCAGGTTGAAACAAACTGTGTTTAAAACATGACTCGAAAACTAAAATAGCATACAATGTTGTACCTCTAGTACAGGTACAGGGGGGGGGGGGGGGGATTAGAGATTAAACTACAAACAAGGTTTGCAAACTACAGCATGCAGGCCAAATCTTCCCTGCCACCTAGTTTCATATGGCCTATGATTTTAAATTTCAAAATATGTGCATATGGGTTGGAACAGTATGTATTACTATAGAGCTCCTATATAGCTTTGTATACACATGGTGTTCTTTTAAAAGCAAAACAATGGCTGTCCATATGGGACTGGTCAATTTGAGAAATTCTTTTCTTATTTAATGACACAATTTATATCACCACTTGCTAGATTATTAAATATATTTTGAAGACAGCATGAAGATCACACAATTTGAAAAGCATCTTATTGTATTTTTTGAAGGGAATGGTATGTAATTTGTATTTTTTGTCTCTTAAGCATATATTGTTTCTAAAATATTTACTTGATCAGTACATATAAATATGTTGTCAATATTTTAAATATGTGAGCCTGTTTAGGTTGAAAAAACTTTTCTAAATTTATTAGTTAAATTGTGTTTATGGCATTGTTGAATGTATTGGTCAGTTGAAAGAAATGGTTTATTTAATGGAGCCATTGTACTTTTAATGAGTCGAATCTTTTGAAAATAAACATACCTGATATAATTTCTAAAAAAAATTCTTTTTAAAGTTAAATGGCACATGGTAATAAAGATACATTGCCTTCCCCCCAGTGTTAGAGAAATAGTGTTTGGTAGTAATTGTATTGATAAGATAGGATTCTTTTATTAATCCAAACAAATGGAAATGTGTTTTGATTGCATTGGTCATTTTCAGCATATTAATAAAAGGATTTGAACACAAGACGTCTACATTAAATTATTTCACTACTGAAAAAAACAGTCATTCAGTGAACTGTCTTATTCATTTCCGGGACTTCTTGGGGAGCACGCTGGTAAATTCGTACAGATTCGGGAACAAATGAATTTCTATATCTTTCAGTCTTCACCCTGAGAGAAAGAATTCATCCTGAACGGGCTGATCCTAAGTATCTGGGATAAAGAGGGTGGGATGTGGCATCCAAAACTTGTTTGGTTTTACAATATCTTCCTTCAAATAGTTCTTCCAGTGTAGGATGTTTAGTTTGTGTTAAGTTCCTAGCTTTATTGATTAGTCTGTTTATTCAGCGTTAAATATCAGAGACGATGCATTCCTACACCAGCAGGTAATAATGAAATTAAGTAGGCTTCCAACTGTTGCACTTTAGAATAAGTTAACGACCTATTTGTTACCGAAATTGTACAGTTTTTTAAAAGTCTTTGGTTGAATTTTTTATGCAGTAATTGGCCGTACTTGTCTATCTCAACTTTCTCTGCACTTTGATTTTTTATGTTGAGATCTGTCATGTGGTGTTTCCCCCTCCAGAAATCAACCATATCCTTTGTTTTTGAGTCATTCAGCGGGAGAAAATTTTCATCGCACCAATTGATCTTGTAACTAAGTTGCGGTATAGGCCTTCTACCTCAGATATTAGCCAACGATGATGGTATCATCAGCAAATTTTATGATTGGAACGGTGTCGCTTGAGCTCTGAATATCATTGGTATTGTGTATACTGTATAAAGGACAGGGGAGAGAACGCAGCCTTGTCGGGCCCCGGTGATATTTCTCTGGTTAGAGATAGTTGGTCATTTTCATTTACCTTGACATATTGTGGTCGATGTGTTAAAAAGTTGATGAGAAGTCTAGGAAAAGCACTCTAGCATATTTTTAGGGCTGTTTGGGTGATGGTAAAGTCTCTCCAATAATAGTAAGATAGCATCCTGTGTGCTTCTGGCAGGTTTGAACACATCTAACAAGTTGTTCATTTAACTGAGACACACTTCAAGTGTAAATATAAATGTTAGCAATCGTAGAAACTGAAGTTGTATAAAGTTTTAAACTGATAACAATCTGTTAACAAGAGTTTTGACATTTTTTTTTTTTAATAAGGCTGAAGAATGAAAAGTTCTTTATAGTAATTTTATTTGAACAAGAATAATAAATGACCACACCTTAGTAATTACAGTGAGACCATTTACAGTTTTAATGAACAAAAAAGATTTCCATTTTTATATTGCATATTTATAAAAAAAACTACCAATCAGCTACAAAAAAAAAATTCACATAAAATTACATAGAGCACAATAAATTTATGAATATTAACGGTAAAGCTGTAAATGACAGCTGCTAAGATATTTACAGCTTCGTTCCAACTATAAATTAAAGTATTTTATATAAAAATAGAAACTCGATTTTGTTTGAATGGATCCAAACAATAATAAGGCATTCATGAAAATATTGCCTACATAAGTGACACATTCATCACTTAATAATTTAAAATAGATTACTGCAAATCACAATTTCTGTTGTTTTTTTTTGTAATATCCAGACAGCTAGAATTAGGACTTTTTCAGTATGATGGCAAATGCAGCATGACATACACTAGCCAAACAAAAGACAGCTTCGCACTAAAACAAGGTAACAACATGATTTTAACAACACATGCCGCTAAATATCATGAGAGGGAAACCCATAGTCTGATGTACTCCTGAATTATCAATTTTACTCAGTAATTGAAGTAAAGTGGCACCTCATCATTACTGTACTGTACAAACTCAATATAACGCTGAGCCTTTTGTGCTGAATGCCTGTATGATAAAATATCAGAATGTCAACAGATTGCTACACATTTTATTTTAAAAGTACTGTAAGTTGAAAGTTTCAGTATATTTATACCTTTACAGAAAACCATTTGTTTAAATGTCTGTTCATATTCTGCAAAATTAATACCGTATCGAACTTAAAGATGTTAAATTTATGACTTTATTATTTACTAGAGACACTTTATAAATCTATCATTAAATGGTCAAGTCAAGAAAACAAACTCACTTGCTAATTTTTTTACAGTAGAGCATGTTGAGATTTCTCATTTTTTTACATCCTTTTCTTAAGTATTTTAATGCTTTGTCACTGGTGATAAAGTTTTTAAAAAAGCTGGTTGCAGTTGCACAGAATTTCAGATGTTACAAAAATATATATTAAATGTTAAAGTTTTATATACTGAGTAAATAAGGTTGTATAAAGTAGATCTTCAAAGTTTGCAATTATTTTCAAGGATACACATCAACTGCCAGATAAAAATTGAAATCATTTAGACAAAAAGATGTCACTTTTCAATGCCACAGCTAAAAAAAATTAATAAAATTAAGGAAACGAAAAGGTGATCATAAAATTATAATAATTATTTGAAAGTGATATTAATTAAATAGATTATTGATGAACCCACCCAATATTTAGTATATTTTAAGATTTTAGCTTTTACCTGATGTGGATGCACCCACTAATATCCAGTTGGGTTAGATAGTGACAAACCCCAGATAGATATTGGATACTCAAGTCTGTAACCTGGTATTATTTAACATGAGATATTAATGAATGAATCCCTTAATGTCAGCCATGTTTTTTTTTAAAACTAATGCTACTTTTTGTGTTTGACACACTGAACATTTAGGCTACAAATCAAAAACACCTTAAAAATATTTTAAATTCTACCTAAAAATTGTATACCGGAACATTAATGCGTGTGGTTATAATTACCATTGACTGTATTTACAACCAATTCTGTGGTAAATTGATTATAATATTTTTAAAATCAAGGAAAAAGTCTCACATGTTTGCAACCGGATAAGTTCAGAACTGTCAACATGCGACAACAAAATGCCAAATTCTTGATGGCTCCATCAGTCAAATTCTAGATTTTAAAAAAATATTATTTTTTAAAAATTGTTGTTCCATAACTTTGCAAGAAACATACAGATGTTTGTCTAAGAAGATGAAATAACCAAGACTATTTCGAGTTAATTTGTTTGATTATCTCAAATAAACGTACCAGATAATGAGGCAAGTCAACACTCATGAACTTATCACACAGTAAGACAAGTCAATACTCTAATAAATGTACACACAGTGAAAAGAAAATTTAACACTAATAAATTGAGCAGAAAGTTGAGACCAGTCAAAACTCTAATAAACTTACCACACAGTGAGACAAGTCAAGTCTTGATATATCTTTAGACTGTTGAGCAAATTTCTGGAGCCCCAAGTCTGTAATGTTACTGTTATCAGAAACCACTACATCCCTCAACCGTGAATTATGACCAAGTGCTGATAAACCCTAGGATTTAAAAAATGTAATTATCTCATATAACTGATAAAATCCTTTTCTTTATTAGTAAAGTATTTATCGTTTGTTTTCTTTCTGTTAGGTCAAAAGAATTTTTTTTTTAGTATTGCAATAACAATGTGACTAGTGTGCCAGAGCTCATCTTTTAAACTTAAAAACACACATTTTTGTAAGCTGTTCAATGATTTGATGATGTGGACATTTCTGTAGACTGGTTTGCATTTTGTATTCTCCTCAAAAGCTAAAGTTTGTATTGCGTTTCAAGTGAACTCACCTGATCCCCACAGTTGCATCCACTGATATCTAAGGCAACCAGACTATGCATCTGGCCCAACAGTTCAATGCCTGCTTCACTAATGTGTTCACAGAAGTTGACATTCAAGTATGTTAAACTGTGGCATCTGGAAATAAAATATGATTCACCTTTAACTAATTTGACATATTAGCCATTTGCTAACATTTAACAAAAAGTTCTATATTGTTATGTAAGTGGATAGTAATCCATCTTTCAATACAAATTTGATTAATTTTGTAATATAAATTAACACTAATAGCTATAAAAATAATCAAATTTTAATTTGTATTAACTGAACAAGGTGACAATAAAATGTTCAAGTTCAATCAAGAAAAATAAATTTTGCTATTAGTATTATATTATAAATAAATAAATATATACATTGTAAATAAATATATATATATATATATATATATATATATATATATATATATATAATCTTTGTAATTTACACACATAAAATAATATATTTTCCGAAAAAACTTTGTGTGTGAAACAATAAAAAAAATATTTATCTATTAGTAATATATTATAAAAAAATAAATATATACATTGTAAATAAATATATATATATATATATATATATATATATATATATATATATATATATAATCTTTGTAAATTCCACAAATTAATTAGCATAATTTGCCAAAAAACTTTGAGTGGATATATTATATATAAATAAATATATATATTATAAATAAATATATATATATATATATATATATATATATATATATATATATATAAAATCTTTGTAAATTCCACAAATTAATTAGCATAATTTGCCAAAAAACTTTGAGTGGGAACCAATAAATAAAATATCTCCAATGAAAATTTAATACAATGAAATTTTAAAAATGTAATGTTACCTCAATATATATGAACAAAGAATGTCTGGCTCCACTGTATACCTCAGTACTCCACCCTCCTTACAATGATCTTATCCCATGATCTCCACCCTCCTTCCAATGACATCACCACCCACTTCTCACTCTCCTTTCTGTCAATGACCTAACACCTCCCTCTTGCTCTCCTCCTTTTTACCATTGATCTCACCACCTCCTTCTGATAATCCTCCTTCCAATGACCTCTCACTCGCCTCATTCCTTCCGATGAACTCCCTACCTCCCCCTCACGGGCATCATTTCTTCCAATGACCTCACAACCTCCTTCTTACATCCTCCTTCCAATGACCTCCCTCTTGCCTCATTCCTTCCAATGACCTATCTACCTCCCTCTCACTTGCCTCATCCCTTCGAATGACCTCACCTCTTGTGTAAGTTCACCATGGCCATATCTCCAACTCTGACACAGTTGGTCAGGTTTAACTCCCTTAGTTTACTGGCTGCTGGACCTTCAGTCAAATACCTGACCCCAGCATCACTTATTCTACAATATAGAAATAAAAGTATATTATTCGATTTATTTTTAAAATTATGTCATAAAATGAGCAATAAATAAATAAATCTAAGCTTAAATGTAAATCCAATCTCTTATAGTAGACAGTTGTGATTGAAAAGTATAATTTTTTTAAACAATTTTTCTTGACTGTTACGGTGTAAATATAATGTGTAAAAACAGCTTTTTTTGCTTGTCATATGTTTTCAACCCTTCTGCTTCCAGTACATTAATTAGATAATTTTTTCATTTAAATTACTTTCTCTCTGGAAAAACTCTCTCGGGTTTCACTTTACTAATACTTACCACTCAGCTACCAAAGGAACATAATTATTTTTGATAACTTAAAAACTTCATTCCCTGCTCTCAGGAATAAGAACAGTGTGACCAGCTTTCTGAGACTTAGAAATGAAGTGAATGAATTCCATGGTTTATTATCATAATATGAAGATTGATTAAGTTCAGCTATTAACAATATAGGCCTGTCTTTATTTTCTTTTAGACCGCTTTTTCTTTCCAAGTTTTGGTAAAGCTCATTTTTAAAAAAATAAAGTGTAGGGAAGGGAGAATACAAATCTTGATAATAATCTCTAATCATGACTAACCTTACACAATCAGCCATATTGAGAACAGTCATGTTTTTACAGGCAGATAAAGACTTGAGTGTTGTGTCTGTCAGGCGCTGGCAATCAGCCAGATAAACGTGGTGCAAATCTGGGCAGTTCTTTCCAATCAATTTCATGCTAGCATCAGATATCCTATGGTTGCCTTGTGAAAAATATTAAATATTGATTTAACTAAGAAATTTCATAAAACTTTTTTTTTTCAAACATTTTAAGGATTTTGAGATTTCAGCCTATTCAAAAAGGCCATTAAAAATAATAAAGTTCTCAAATAATATACATCTTCCTACCATCAACTTTCAAAACTTGCAAACTCTTATTGAGTGCCAGCCTCTTGATTGATTCATCTGTCAGTAGAGGGCATCCCAGTAGTGAGATTGTATGGATTCTTGGACATTTTTCTGTTATTATCTGTGAAAATAAAATGTAATGGGCTTATAAAAAATCAATGTGGCATCTGTTTGTACAATTTAATTTAAACCCAACACAGTCATACCTTTTGAGTGTATGTTTGGGTTTGCCAAAATAAACAAAAAATTAACCTAAAAATAAAATCAATCATGTTGGTAATGGACAACTTCTTAAGAAATGCCAGATTATGATAAACTACTATTTTTTCTAATTTACCATAATGCATTCATCAAGAAGTGTTGGAAACTCATTCAGCACAAGACTCAACAAATTTGGGCATCCATCTGCCAGATTCTGGAATCCTTCAGGGGTTACCTACAAAATAGGAATATGTCTCAGAAAGTTTTAATCATATTATTCATGAAGTCATCATAATTGTTGAAGTCTGAAAAGTTGATTAAAGGAATTACTCAATTAGAAACCAAACATAATTCCAAAGACTCTAATTTCTTAAATTCAAGTACTAAAACTGTAGGGTATACCTATAATATGTTTAGAATCAGAATACATTTTATTTAACTTTTCCCCTTTATTGTTTATGTCTTATGTTGTTTGGCTGACAAAAGTTTCCACAACAAATTTTCTCTAATTCTTCTGATAGCTTTTAACTGATAACTTTTGATTTACATAAGTGAAGCTTTTGACTTAGACCTTGCATTTTATTATTGAAACCATCTGCAACACACTGCAACACTGTCAAAATTGAAAAGTAAAATATTGCAAAGAATTAAAAATTCAGAATTTGGGTTCTGCTATCACCCAAAAAATATTTCATGTTCCATTTGCAAGTTATAACCTATCAGTAGAATGACACAAACTATTTGGGGATTACAATCAGCAGATGGAAACCACTGATCTTGCCATTAATTTTAATCTCTTTAATTAGGATTTCTAATTTGTAATAAATTAATTATTTTCTTGAATTCCTAGATTCACATGAGGTATGAAAAGATATTAAACTTAAAGTAACCATAAAGTACTACCTGCAAGCAACCAGATATGTCTAGATACTGGAGTTTGTCATGGCATTTTCCTGTTGCCAGGTAGAGCAGACCTCTGTCAGAATACTTGCTACAGAAAGCCAGACTTAGATATTGAAGATTTTGGCAATTTCTGATCAAAATAAAATTCAATTTCATTAAAAGTATGAACACTAATTTGACTTAATACATTTACAAAAAAGAAAGTTCTGGCATTGGTGGACTGGGCAGCTTGGACAACAGGAAAATCCTGTTTGGTCTGTAGGGCCTGTGATATTTGGACCATCTCTATATTAAAATTAAACTTGCAGATTTAATTTTAACTTAGAGATTATTATCTCTTGGCCGCTAACACTGTGTAACACTGGGATCTGGTATTTTTTAAGTGTTATTAAAGGCGTTTGTTTAAATGCTGTAATATTTGATATTTAGAGAACAAAATAATTTCTCAGGAATATTGAAATAAATATTGCATTTTTGCATATATTGGAATCAATTACAAACAGAACCATATTTGAACAACTATTTATATATCCCCATTGTTAATGTCCTCATTCTTTTCTGTGTTGGCAGTGACAAAAAAGAACTACAGCAACATACAAAAATTGAATGGTTACTTGTTGATGGCCCTTAGGCTTGCATCTGTCAGATTGGTGTGTGCCAAGTTCAGATACAGCAAGATTCTACAGCCTTTTGTCACAATTTTTAGTGCGTCATCCTGGAATCAACACAATTCATTAGTATTCTTGACTATGACAGATTTTGACTGGGTAAGTTTTATGAAAATTACTATCAAATTTTAATAATTTAAGCCTCCTTACATAATAACTGTAAAAAATTTAGCCAAAATATTTTTTGGATCATAATATGAATTTTGTAACTTAATTTTCTGTTCCTGGAATATTAAGATGAAAATAAAAAATGTTTACAAAATTGTAAGCCTATTTATAGATAAAATCACTCAAATAAAGTATTACTAAATTTAAATTAATAGAGCTAAATATAAACAATGACATAAATAACAGAAAGGATTTTTTATAGTGTAATCATAACAATGGTTGCCAAGATAAAATAATTAACTTTATTGAGCCAACAGAACATAAAGGCAAAACATAGACCCTAATTGCACACTGGCCCCAGAAACAATGGTAAAACCTATTGACTTTTTGCCTGAAGTTTGAGCTTGGGCCTACTAGGGTGGCTGTTGAGTCTTACATTACAATATGTTAAATGGCACAGCTTGTTGCCAATGTGGTAGCCAGGACCATATAGAGCTCGGCCTCCAGCAGAGATATATTAGAGAATCAAAGCAATATCAAACCGTGGATTATAAAATATTTTATACCATTAACACTTTACTCAGACTTATTTTCTTTGACTTTAAAAAAAGATTGTTTTATAGTAATTTGACCAAAAATAAATACCTGTACACTTTTAGCAGTAATAAATTCTGTACTTACATCAAGCCCTGTGCACTCAGATAAATTGAGATCTTGCAAGTTACGACAGTCACTGACACTAACAAAGGTTGGCCTGGTTAAATGGTGACACATTCTCATATTCAGATGGATTAGATATGGCCTGGCCTTGAAGAGGAGCCGAGTTGCCACTTTGTCAGTCACTCTGGTACAGGAAGACATAATTACCATAATTATCTCCATTTATTTGATTCCTTTATGAAAGTTAATCCAAATTGTTTAAGTTAATCTTTATACAGATAATTTAAATGTGGTAGTGATGCTAAATTTTAGAACCTAATAAACAGACTCACCCAATGACCTAATTGACTGTTATGTGCTATCTATTTATTATCTATCTAAAAAGCTTAAATTTATGCCAAACTTAAATTGGTTTAAATATATTTAGGCCTACACATTCTGATCAGGAAGAAACAAAAAATATTACACATTAAATAAATGATTTTAACATTTCCTTTTTTTTTTGAAGAATCATTTATTTTAATCATTTAGCAATGCTCTTTGGTGCAATGATTTTAATCAAATGTAAAAATTATTTGGAGATAAAAAAATTTGATTAGAAATTAATTAAAATTTCAGATATAAAAACATAAATGAAAAGAGAGTAGACTACAATTATGTTTCTTTAAAAAATGGATAATAAACATAAAATATGTTTGTCTAAAAACATGACAATTTACATAATGAGGGGGATTTCAAGTTTTAAGCAATGTTCTATTATATTGTTCTAAAATATAAAAGTAGTACTTTATGGGTTCAACTAGCTAATAGAATATAGTAACAAATATTAGAATACAAAAAAGTGGAGTTTGCAGAAAGATGGAAGTAGGCCTACAAGGAAAACCAGAAGCTATACAGTTTTTAAAAGTATTTAATCAAAGATGAGCTTTGAAGAAAAACCTTAGATTGAGAGACAAATGTACCCTTAAGTTTTAACAAATAATTTATAGAAAGGCTACTTATTGTTTGTATTAATCGGTTTTTAAATAACCAAAAAAAAAAAAAAAAAAAAAAAAATTCCTTTTTATTGTACCTATAGTAGGAATAATTTTTTATAACTTTTCACAACAAAAAGAAAATAGAGACATCAATTAACACCTAGGCCATTTATAATCAAAGTCATAACATTAGCACAAGACAGACATTTAATTCCTATAAGATGATATTCGTTAAACATTGAAACATGTATTCTGAAGTGCTAATAAATTTGATGTAGATCACACCCTCTACATTTTAACATTTTTGCTAGATGCAAAGTTATATCATGTAATTATTTATACAGAAATTACTTTGGAAAATATTATAAAAAGCATTCAAACTTGAATAAGCAGGATGACCAAGAGAAAATTATTGCTTGTAGCATGACAATATATAGAAGATTTCATAGTTAATTAGGTAAGGGACTAATACTTTGACTCTACAGATAATCCGTTCACATTATTTTCTGATATAATGTACATGGCAATTAATGGGCATTAAAGTGAATGATATTTCAGTTTAGGCTTTAATGAAATATTCATGACTGACAATTTTGTTTTTAAAAAGCTTCATAATATGAGTTAGTGAAGAAAAGAACGAGGTCACTATTATTAATATCTGGGAGACTTTTGTATGATTGGTCAAACACATTGCTGTCATTGAAATAACTATTCTGATGGTAATTTGATGGAAACTTTATGTCAAATAGGAATAATGTAACATGAAATGTTCACTTGTAGGATATATATAAATAGCATTGGGTACAAAAGTGTTTATTAACAAGTTGATAATGTGAAGAGTTGAGTGGTCTAAAATTTACCCAAGTGGAAATCTGTGTGCAAACAGCAGTAATAAGAATTACATTTAACGCTTTACAAGAAATATTTAGCATTTTAAGTCTAAATGATCTTTTTCGACCTATAAAATAGCCATTTATATATATAAAATACATATGAAAATTGTAATATTAAATCAATGTATTAAGTAATAAAATTTCAGATCAATAAACTTGGATAAAAAACCTAAATCAGTTCTCTTGTTAATGTAGAATATCTAGTTATCCAGCAGTATCATTGGAATAAGAGAAGACCTTTTTTTTAAATAACTTATGAACAGAAATATTATTATTTTTAAAAAAATAATATTTGCTGAATAATGCTTTGTCTAAAATATCTGGAGTTTTAAAACTAATTTGTCAAGATTATCTTTTTGATAATGAAAAAAAAGTAAGAACTTTATCAATGATAATTTCTGTTAATCTTTTATTAGCAGTAATAAAAAAAAAAGCGCTTTATTATATTTTAATTTTTTTAACATCACAAAAAATAAGTTAGTATTCCTCATCTACATCAATCAATGTTATAAATTGTAAAAAAAAAAAGTTTCAGTTAGAGGATATAAGATATAAATTTACGTACCTTTTCTTTACATTGCAAAAATTAATCTAAAAAAAAGAATTCATTATTTTTTTTAAGGAAAATAATAAACATTAAAAAGTTTTCAGTGAATAAATTATTATTTGAATAGAAAAACCAAATTATTTATTATCAGCGAATGCAAAAGTTTCTTTATTTTTATTCCCCAAATTTCCAGACATTATACCACAAGTTTCATTACCTTACTTCACACATTTCATTACCTTACTTCATAATTTTCAATACATTAATTCACAAGTTTCCTTACCTTACGTCACAATTTTCATAACCTTACTTCACAATTTTCATTACCTTACTTCACAAGTTTGCTTACCTTACTCCACAACAAGTTTGCCTGAGTCAGAACTTTCCAAAAACGACACACACAGGCACAGTTAGCTATATCTGCCACATCCAAGAAGCTGAAAATCTTTTTATGAAAGAGAAGCATTTAAGAAGATTATTCAATTTTTAATATTGATCTATAAGTTTAGAAAATCTGTGAAAGTCAGAAATAAATCAGGAAGATCCAATTCTGTTAACAAATAGTTTGTGTCACAATCACACTCAGAATTTTGATTTTGACTTGCAGTGTATCTCAAACTTTTTTAGGATTTCTTGTGTGACAGTCTCTACTATTTTTTTTTTAATGCTTGCAGATCCTTTATAATTAGCTACAACAAAAATATAGGCTACTGTCACCAAAATATTTTTGACAAACAATAGTTCATTCAGATAATGACAAAACTTTGTCAGCAAATGTACATTAAATGGAATTGGTGCATCTGCTTTGCCTTAATCAGTTCTTCTAGGTTTGGTTTTGTTTTGGCCAGTGCAACTCTTATATTATTTTTTGCATCTAATCTGTTCCAGATTTTGTCTTCATATCAAGTAGATTTGAAAAACCTGTTTCACACTTAGAGGGGGTTGCAAATGGAGTCAGCAATGTTAGAGCCATCTTTGCAACATCGGGATGGGACTGCACCAATGCAAAACAAATTTTACGGAAAACAACTTTTGCACCCCCATCCAAAATCACTTATCAAATCAAAAAACTGTTCTTGAATTAAATTGTCCTCCAAAGGGAGATCACTAATGGATTACAAAAGGGTTGTTGATAAAGGAAAAATATTTTACAAATTCCTATAAATAATGAAAATAATGAGAAATTTATTCGCCAAGAATCGACACATGTTGTTTAATCCCATGAAGGATATTGTCATTGATGTAACGTTCGCTGCGGAAAATTGGGAAAAGTTCTTCTCTAGCTTTGCATCCCATAGTTACAGCTTCATTTTGAAAGCTGTCACTGTTCCATGACAATGCATCACTAAGATCTCTTGTCCTTGCAGCCACATGTTGGTTGAAATCAAGGATTCAAATATGTTGACCCGTTAACGACAGGGATATAATAACACTGACAGAGAATTTTGGCTTCATCTCTGGTTTAGCGTCTGGCAAAAACCACTGCATTTCTTCACATAGTGTGAAAACTCCCTTCAAAGTTTTCCCTTTAGGAAAGACACTTCCCATGGGAGAGCAACAAGAGTGTTCCAAATGCAGAACCTCTTTCTATTCATAACTCAGAAAACAAATGAGAGTTGAATGCATTTACTTTAATAAAGTTCACTGCTGTAATCACTTCACTGAGAGCATTTTTCAAGTCATAAGGCCTGGTCAACTCATCGGACCTTGTTTTCACCATTATGGCTTGGCAATGAATAGTGCAGTGTGTACCAATAACGTATAGGGATTTTTGCTTAACTTGAAAACCAGATTGGCATTCAATCTTGAAGCACCATTATTACACATTCCAATGATATATTGCCATTGGATACCATGCACCTCAAAAGAATGTGTCCACTTTATCAAATAAATGAGAGCTTGGAAAAACAAAAACTCATGTTCCAGTTGCTTTTCATATACATATCGTATGTAGATGCAAAGTTAGGCTAAATTGGTGACATTGATCTTTGCATCAAGTTGGAATACAAGGAAGCATTTTTTCAGACATCTCTACTAATCGCCTCTTAAAAGTATTGTTTGACAGGAAAACACGTTTTAGCTTCTTAAGTTCAGAACTTAAGCACATTTGATATGATAACTTTGCAGCAAGGTAATATCAACTCTTTTGCAAAGATGTGGGCTTTCTTGGCGCAGCTATTTTCCTTAAAACTACATAGCAGGCTTTTAGACAAGCCTTAATGGATTTGTCTAATTGTTTGGCTTGGCATTTAAAGAAGTCGACATCTTTGTTTATTGAGCAGGGATGCTTCATTTCCAAATATCTATCTAATTCCCTGGGCTTTAGAGAAGTCAGTGCCAACACTTGAGAAGACACAGACAGTGGTTTTTCTTCCCCAATAGACTTTATGACAGTAAAACTAAATTTCATATATGAAACATCATATCTAATTTTTTTTTGAAGGACATTATAATTATAATCTAAAAAAAGTACCTGTCAATTTTAAATATCAATTAGAAATAAATATTGTTGTTTAAGTTAACAATTAAAAACTAGATTAAACAGTCCAATTAATTTAGATAATAGAACATACAAAGTGTAACCAGCATCATTTAGAAAAAAAAACTTTTACCTAGGGAAAAGACGGAATGGAGACAATAGGCTGCTAGCATAAGAAAGTTGGGTACGTTTTGCACACATTTTTTCTCCTGCAGAGGACTGTAAAAAATTAAGTTAGCATGAAGAGAATTTGGAGATGTATCCTCAGCACAACCCAATATTCCATTCTCTGGTTAGCTCTAAGTTTAGTTCTTAGTTTCTAAAAATTGACAGGCCACTGTTGGAGATCTAACAGATAGATACTAACTGATAACTCAATATGCAAAAGAATTCTGGGAATACAGTGGGCCTAAATATTTGCTGCACTCTCTGCTAGTTTCTGAGAAAGAACTGTGTCACTACACGATACTAGCAGTTCTCAAATTTTAGTAAATATACCAAGTTTCATGGGAACTAAATTGGACTCCTACACACCCAAATTTTTTATCTAAGTGAGCCCTTCTTGGTCCAGTGAAAGTGCTTTGCTGTCCCATAGTTTGAGAAACACTGCTTTAAAGAGACTTAGGATATGTGCTCAAAAATGAATACTCCTGGACTATCTTTAAAGAAAAGCTTCTTTATTTGTGTATCTCTGACCTGTATAGCAATTTTCCATGGTAGAGTTGATACACTATCCCTCGCTTCTCCATTTCCTTGTCCAAACAAGTCATCATCCTCCATGTTTTCCCCACGTTCTAGCCTCTGTAGAAAATACATTTTATGAAGATATTTTTTTATTACAACATAATTATATTTGTAAATATTAAATAAAATTGATTGAATTAAGCTTATTTCATTTTATATACTATTTGTGGTATAAAAAAAAGAATTTGTATTTAATTTAAAAAATATACCTTTAATTAAACTAGTTGTGTGTTCTATTTTTTTAATAGAATTTTTACTCATTTTATTTCAAGATTTTTTGCATTATAATAAAAGTAATTTTAAATAACTTATTTATAAATCCAAACTTTTGTTATTTTAACATAAATAAATCATCTTAAATCCTTGTCATTAGTTGAATAATGAAATAAAATGTTTGAATACATATTAAAAGAATATAATAAATTAGTGAACCATTCTTCACTCAAACCTTTTTATAAAAAAACAAATTTAGAATATATATTTTAATCACCAACTTTGCAAGTCATAAGTCTAACAGAGCATCTAAAAAAAGTTATATCTCATCTTGACTCAAATTTAAAGTGTTCAGATTTTCTTCATCCCAATTAATAAAGTTGGTCTGCATGCTACCATAAAATAAATTTTATAATTAATGCATGTAAAATAAGGTAATCACAACTTCCTAAAAAAAATGTGAAAAATGTCACAGTGTAAGTGTATGCCTAAACAAAAGAAAGATTTTCAAAAATTTAGTCACATTATAATTCATAATAAAATAAAATCTTTGAGTATTTTTAAAAGCTTGTGTAATTATAAAAAAAAAGGAAATGTATTGTTTTGTTAACACAAATATCATTGAACTGCAAATACATTTCAAGCCCATGGTTGAGTAATAAAAATAAAGTTATCAAAATGTTTTAAAATGTTACATAAAACATAATTTCTTTGCTAGATTTAGGAAGTTGACAGCACCAAAGGGGGATAACGCATCACAGCAGATCTATGCCTGATTACCTTGAGTTTCTGCTCCATAGAACAATGAGGTTAAATTGGAATAAAATTGTATTATCAAATAAGTGTAGAGTCAGTATGTAGAGCTTGTGATAAGTGAATTATCTACCTTACGTTAAATACACCAAATAATTTTTTTAATGCTAATTAATATTCTATTGGAAATGTTGAAAAACAATTTTTTGGGGTTAATTAATTAAAATTTGAATTTTTACATGGGTGTAATGAATAATTGGACCATATATTATGTTCAATTGATCAAGCTGATCTGTAGACATAGCATTTTTATACAGAACCATTATATTCATATTTTAAATAATAACAAATAAGTAAATATGTAATATAATTAAAATACAATCTCATGCTCAAAAAGGCTAATTTGTAAAAAAGGAGTTGTTTATTGTCAAATATAAATAGAATGAATTTGAGGTCAGCTGAAATATTATTATTTTAACGAAGTGGCTATTCAGACACCGGGTCAGAGAAGTTAGAGGTTGGGATTCAAATTTAAAAAAAAATATTTTTGTTCGGTTGTAAGACAAAATTTGGTATCACATGAAAGATAATTGAATGGACTATATGTTTGTAAATTTAATTCTTCAGTTTAACTAAAATAAACTACCGCAATTGACATCCGAATAGCATTGAGTCTAAAGGGACCCAGGTCCGAATAATGATGATGCATTTCCTGTTCCATTTTGACTAAATGCTATTCGGATATCATTTAAGGTAGTTTATTTAAGTTACACTTAAGGAGTAAGTTTACAAACATATAGAACATTCAATTATCTTTCATTTGATACTAAATTTTGTCGTACAAACCCTACAATAAATTTTAACCCAAACTCTAACTTCTCGGACCCGGGTCTGATTAGCTGTAGCCTTATTTTAAAATGTTGAATTTATTAATGTAGAGGAGTATTAAAAGAAAACCAGAAAGGAGATTTGATTTCATTGCATTGGGCATATTTATGAGTTCAACAATTTTAAAATGAATAAATGATTACTTTAAATAATGGTCAACAAGTTTCAGTGAAGAAATAAATAATTCATATAAAAATATGTGTTTAGCACTGGATGCATAATATGACAGTAAACTAAACATTTTGATCACAGTGCATGCAAAATATGTGTCTCATTTGCATAAATGGTGACAACTAACACAACATTGTGACATGAATTAGTCAATCTCACAGTGACTGTGATTATAAAATTACCTTTAACCAAAGGATGCTGAGCAAATTAAAACAAAAGATGTTTTCGTTTTTAAAAAAAAAATTTAATGTAGCATATTTTGTGTGTGAAGGATTTATTTACCCTTGTTGAGATAGATGTTAGCCTCATTTAGGAGGAAAATCTTTATTCATTAAACATCAGATAATTGAATTTAAATGAGAGATATTAAAAATGTGTATTATCTTTATCAGTTTAACATAAAAAAATTACTTTTATCCAGAAAATAAATGTTTATTTCCTACCTCAAAATATTCCCTTTGCTTGCGAGCCTCCAGGGTGTGCTTATTCCAGGCCTCAAAGATAACTCTTCCCACAGACACATGATAGACATGTCTTATTTTCTGATAGGACACTGAGAAAAAATGGAGAACATTGTAATGATTGAATAACAAGTATTGGAATTGCTATGAATTATTTTTTGTAGAACTTTAAAGACATTCTTCAGGGCACCATTGTACTTACTTGCTTGTCTCCCTTTTCTGTACTTGACCCATGCCTAAAAATTTAAAATAAAATAACTTTAAAAAAATTATTTTTAAATCTAGGATGGAAATTTTGCAAATATAATTTTTATTTTTAGCATATTTCTATAGTTGATTTCAAAGTACAATGAAAGAATATTTGCAAATTTCTGTAACATTTTGCTTCAATTAGGTCATGTGACACAGAGTTTGTGATCATCAACATTCAGAAAATATTTAAAATATTGACTTCAATAAACAAATTTATTTAGTAAGAACGATTACACTTGTATATAACTTAAAACATATATTATTCCTTAACCTTTGGCATGCTGTACAATTAACTTTAGTGTTTTTAAATTGCAATAACTTCTTTCTAAACCTTTTAAAGACTTGAAATTCATGACATCTTTACATTTTCATATTTTCAAATTTGTAAGCAAAATTTCAGAGAAAATTCTTCACCCATCGCCAACTGCTATTTTAATTGTCAAGTTATTTTTACACCCATAACAGAAGGAAAGGGAAAATTAAACCTTTATATATTTTGTAAGAAAATTATCAGTCAAAGTATACTTTCTGTGTGGTATTCAATATCTGAACATTATTTAGGTTAAATTCTGTAAAATAGTATAGTAGAGCACAAATTTTACAAATGCAGAATATCCGAACCACGGTTTATCCAAATGGCACACATTTTATTTTTTAACATTAGCAACCCATGGCATGGAGCACATGTGTAAAAAACACTGGAAAACTACCAGGATCATGGTCTCACAATGCAGGTAAAGTATACATAGTTACTGCAGGAGAGTAGGCTTCATAAAGTGACCAGACTCGGATAATGCAATCTGCAAACTTTTTAATAAATATCACAGAATACATGCCACCTACAAAGACCTAGTGACCTTGGAGTTTATTCTAAGCATCTGTCTTCTATTTTCGAAAATGACCACTTTGAACAGATACAAAATTCAAGTCCTTACCATTTTTTACATCAATCAGCTGACCCAGTGACATCACACAGTTTTGAAATAAAATGAAAGAATATGCTAACTTCATTGAGGCAGACTTTTCATGGGAGTGTTTAATTATCAAAAAAAAGTTATCTGAAACACCCAGGTCACAACTCCTTTGAAAAATGGACACTCAACTGCATGTGTTAGCCTAGGGTTCCCGCAAACCGTGGGGGTGAGGATGGCATTGTGAGTGGGTGCAGAAAGACCCAGAAATTAAGATTTATTTGTGTTTTATTTGAATTTTCTTATTGTATGGTTGTGAAACATATATATTTAAATCAAGATGGGGCTGCGGGAAATGTCTTGAAATCTAGAGGGGCGTGGCACCACATTTTTTTTTCTAAACTTCCCTACTGTATTACATTCACATTTTAACTTTAATTTCTTTATTACTTTATTTGGGTACTATTTATTTTAGGATGGATTCTTATAGGTTCTTCTTGCCCCCAAAAAAGTTGTAACATCATTAGGTATTTAGAAATGAATTGGTATAGTTAGTTGCTTAAGATAATTGACAATTTTTATTTACTTTTATTAAAGCACAGTGGGGGGGGGGGGGGGCGGTGCTTTTCCCAATTTGGTTTAGGTGGGAAAANCACGTCACCTTTTCCCCCTACGTCTGCACACTCTCTCTCTCTCTCTCTCTCTCTCTCTCTCTCTCTCTCTCTCTATATATATATATATATATATATATATATATATATATAATATATATAAATATATAAATAAATATATATATATATATATATATATATATAATATATTTGGAGGGGGGATTGTTAGGAGAAGAAGTCTAGCTTAATTATCTGCCAATTTTAGGAAAATTTGTCTAGGCTGGAAATTAAACTCAAAAACTCTAGTATGCAATGACACATGTTTGGACCGCACAGCCAAGGCAAACTCTTAAAAATTTTATGAATTTTAAAAATTAAACCAAAATAAAAATTCATGGCCTAATAAAATTCATGTTTTTAATAATCAAAGGATTTTTGTAGGCCTATAATTTCATGTGCTGAAAAATGTTAAATATTATTATTAAATAGTCAACAATGTTCTAACAATTTTTAACAGTAATTTTTGTATTTCTAATATTCATATTGAACCTCTGAATCAAAGACTATTCCTGCCAATACCATGGCTGTAGTGACCACAGTACATCATAAACCAAGATCTAGGAGGGGGGAAAGGGGCTGGCTTCCACCACTTAGGGGGAAAAGATGCTCCTGGTAAAGCATGGTTTTTGAGTCAACATGGGAAGGCGTTCCTATACTATTTCATTTCTATGAAAAACGCATATTTATTTCAGGATAGGGAATCTGGATTGAGTTACCCAATTTTTTTTCTGGTCTTCACCTTGGTGAACATGCTTTTGGACTGTTAACAACATGAAGTTATTTATTTGCTTTTTTTTCTATCTCTATATTTGCATAATTTCTGTAAAAGATATAATACAATACCAAGCTCACTGCGAACCAAAAAAATAAAACTTGCATCATTTGGATTCAATGATTTGGATAATCTTCAATCAGAAAATTGATTCTCTTCTGTGAAACTCTACATAAAGTTGCCTAAAGAAAGTGTATATATTGAATACAGTACAGAAAGTGTAATGACATTGAGAACTCATAGGGATAATATTCAATCATTTATATTTGAATTTCTTTTCTTTAAATCTAAATTAATGACAACTAACACACTAGAAAAGGTTTCTTGGGTTAGAATATTTTATTTTATTCTTGGAATATATTAAGTAAAATTAAAACAATTTTAATGAGACTCACCTTCCATATTTTGACATGAACTTTTAACATGCGAAGTGCATGATGCTGGACAGCACGGCACATCTTTTCTTCCAAGGCTGCTTTCTTTCTTTTCTGCACCAAGTGATACTGAAGCAGGGCACTAAGAATGGAGGTAAATCTAAAGCTTTATCAATTTGAAATTTACTTATTAAATTACTTATTAAATGCTTCATTACTTTAAAGTTATTATTTTTCTGACAAGAATACATTTTTTTAAAATGAATGAAAATACTTTATTTACCAGAAACACATTTCCATTAGTTTGTAGTTGTAGAAGGAATATGCCTTTGTGTACATTTCTGGGGTAGGCTGAAAAAAACAAAATGTATATATGTGACATTCTTTAAGCCAAATTATTTTCAAAGCTTTATAATATTTCATTAATTGATTACTTGATAACTGTATAAAATTTATATTTATATGGATAAAATTTAAAAGCAATGAAAATAAAATATTTTGATTACCATGTTTCCACCTAAAAATTTTTAATTGATCAAACACAACAGAATATGCATATTAACATTAAATGGGATGATTATAGTCTCACCATAAGCCATTCCTCAAAATTAAAGATCATGTCTAGATTGCTTTCAGTCACCACTCTGCGGGGTGGTTTCATACTCTCTTCAATGAACATGTCCCTTCAAAAGATATTTAATTCAAGAAGGAATGTTTTTTAACTTTTTTTTTATTTCAAGAAGCATCAAACCAAAGATATTCAGTCTTTAAGTTCTAACCAGTATACGTATACATTTCATCCAATTATAGGGTCCAGACAAGGAAAGCAGAAAATGATAAACGATTGTCACAAAATTTATATAATTATAGATATTTAAGTATACAAATGTTAAATCATGGAAGTAAATAAAATATTAACTAAAAATGAAAAATACACAAATATCAGAATGGCATCTGTTCATAGCCTGAATAAAAAGAGAAAATAAAAACAAAACAAAAAAGGCAAAAGAGTTAATTAAAGATATGCCTTTAGGGGGCTATTTGATGTTAGGTATAATGAAATGAAGTGTAGGTATAGCATGACTTTGTTTTATTATTTGGGTAATAAAATTGTAAAAGTGTAATGCATAATCTGGAGCTAAATACTTTAAACAACAGAAATATTAATCAATGTACCAGTGTAAACAATCCAGTCCATGTTCTTTTATATACATCAATTTCTCTAGGATGAAGGTAAGGTAGTCTTCAGGGCACATAATACTCAAACCTGAGAGAAGTGCCTGAAAATTGAAAAAAATCATGATTTCTTTAGTTATTTTAATCATAGTGTGTAAATCTTACTGAAACTAAATTAATATATTTCTCAACTTGTACAATATCACTTGCTTGGAATTTGTACAGTATTTTATTCTTTAAAACATATTTGCCTTTTGATTGACCTATCTCTAATATATAAATATATATATACTAATAAAAGGCAAAGCCCTCACTGACTGACTCATCACTAATTCTCTAACTTCCCCTGTAGATAGAAGATTGAAATTTGGCTGGCTTATTCCTTACAGATAACTTACAAAAGTTAAGCAGGTTTCATTTCGAAACTCTACCCAGAACGGTCACAATCGGGGGCCCCGAATTCATTTTTTTCTTATATGAGGTTTATAAATAAAATTAACAACAAATACTCCTACATGGATAGATGGATGTTACCAAACTTAGCACACATACAGTTGAGTATCCATACTCAAATACTGAAGGGGACTGAACTCATAATATCCATACCTCTGGGGCCGGGGGTTCCATTAAATTTTTTCTTATATAAGTTATATTATAAAAATATCACTAAACTTATTACTCTTACCTGAATCTTGACCAAACTTATTACTCATACACTTGATTATCCATATTCAAATACCAAAGGGTACTGAACTCATATTATCCATCCCTATGGGATTTTGTCCAATTTCATTTTTCCTAATATAAGCTATATAAATATCAATTGGCTTAGACAACACTATAGGTTATACGTGAATAGGTGAATCTAGGCCTAGCTTTGTAGCAATGCGTTTCTTAAACTATTAATATCCAATCCATTAAGGGCCATCTAGAATTTTCTAGATAGTTTGATAGTTTAAAAAAACTATATCTATGGTATTTTTAAACCAATTTTAATAGCACAAACTTTAAATCTATAATTTATCTGAATGATTTTTATAACCCTGATCCCCCCCCCCATCTCAGACATAACTAAAACGGTACATTATTAAATGGGCCCAATTTAAATGTACTATAGCAATAGAAGTACAATTTAGTTGTATAATATTTCTCATTTGAGGAAATTATTACCGTACGTAGAAAAGTAATTTTGTACACGTTTCATGGAGGAAATTAAATTTAATCTGGAATGTTCTATTTTGTTCTACAGGGATATATACTTAGATCTAAAAGCTTATTTGAATCCTAATGGGACCCATCAGTTATGCGATCCCATCTGAGAACAGGACACCATTGAGATCCCATCGGGTAACGGGATCAAACCGGGATTAGGGTCCTATCAGGAAAAGGGATAACATTGGAAAATAGAGTCCCTAGGAGGAGTGGGATCCCACAGAGATTGGTATCCTAACGATCAGTAGCCCATCAGGATCCACTGAGATCGGGATCCCACTGGGATGAAGACACCAATGGGATTGAGATCCCAACAGGATCTGGATTCCCCCTGGATCTGGAGCCACAACAAAGTGGGATCCCACCGGGAACGGGATCACACCGGGAAAAGGGATTGTGCTAGGGTCAGGTTCAGAATGGGATTGGGGACTAATTAGAATTGGGGTCTTACCAGGATCAGGATCCTAATGCAATCCCATGCAACGCCGGGTATATTGGCTAGTGTGTGTATATATATATATATATATATATATATAATTAATTAAATTTAATTCTTTCCAAAAACTATTGAATTAAATTAATAATCATAAAAAAGATGACTTACTAATAAGTGATGACACAAGTTGACAAGCAACACAACTTACTTTAACCAAGCCTAAGCCCAGCTGAACTGTATATATTATATACATATTTAAATATTATTTATGAATGTTATGGGCCTTCTAATAATCAGCAAAGATTTTAAAAAAGATCAAAATTTAAATATAGCATTAGCATGTTACTGTTACGCATGTAATAATAAAATTTATTTGAAATGTTTACAGTTACTACTAATATTTAATTAATAGGGCCTTTAAATTCAAGGTCATTGAAAAGTAGGGCCTATAAATTACACTATCTTATTTAATAAGACAGTAAATTGTAAAAATATGAGACTTTAGAATTAAGTTTAAGTCTAAAAAAGGCTTAAGTTTCAATAATGAAGAATTAGATTAGGCTTATAAAGGTAAAAGGATTATTATTATTAAAGCGTAGTAAATAATTAATGATGATAAATCAAGCAATAGGACTTAAGACTTATTAAAAGTAAGTAAATAGACAAATTTGTTCTCTCATTGCATTTTTTATTATGACAAAATCGCTGAAAATGAATTGAAAATGAGTTAATTGTTATGTTACCTCATAAATATCTGGAAGTCTGTTAGCTCGTAAGAATTCTCTCATTTCAGGACTGAGACCCCGGAGTGAGGCTGCCATGATTTATATTTGCAATTATAACACCTTTCAATATATATATATTTTTTTTTAAAAATTGATTAAGCGAGAAAAATTCTTTTTAAGTAAACGAGTGAAGTGATTTTGTGCGTTTCCGATGGCCGCCATGTTGTTGATAGCAACAATATCTATGCAAAGTGCTCTCCCCTGTAAGTTTTTAAAAATATTTATTATCCGGAAAAATAACTTTAATGGCGCTCTCAAAATAAATATAAATTATAATTGCATTGTTTGCGAAGTGGCTATTGGGACCCTGGTATCAGAAGTGAGAGGTTGGGATTAAAAAATATATATTTGTTATATATATATATAAGATATATTATTTTTGTTGGGTTTGTAAGACAACATTTGGTATCAAATGAAAGATAATTGAATGGACTATATACTATATGTTTGTTTACCTACTTATCAGTTTAACTAAAATAAACTACAACAAATGACATTCGAAAGGCATTTAGACTAAATGGAAACAGGTACGCAAGGGCTACATTAGTGAGTTTATCATGAAATGGGGGTTGGAATGAGCCGGAACTGCCTGTTTAAAATAATATTTACAATATTTTTTTAATAAACCTAACCTCTAACTTATGATACAGGGTCCGAATAGCCGCAGCCATTTGTTTAGGTAGATTCTGCATACAGCATGAACTTTATAAAAAAAAAACACTCATATTTTCTATAAAACTACTCGAACTACATTAGGAGAAAATTGACATCGAAAGCTTACAATTGTCAACACAAACAATAAAAGTTAAACCTGCCCTAGAGTCCCATATATTGCGAAATGGATTTTGCTCAAAGACAAGCCATGAGCCACCTAATGTTAAAAGGGCCAACCAAGGAGAAGCGTCAGCCCGGAACGAAGCCTGAAAATGCCACCCCTAAATATAATATAGAAAAATAGTGCAGCCCGGGGAGGACTAGTAAAAAAGAGCATTTGGCACCCCTCGTCGTTTGTGGATTACATGGGAACTGTTTGTTTAATTCACTCTTAGACGCCTATCTATAGATGACGACGACCAGCGGATGCAACTCTAGTGGGAATATGCTATTCATGTTGACACGTTCCAAAACCTCTGTGTTAAGCCCCTTGTCCTACCATCGAATGGGCAAAATTCGACGCATACATCTGTGGTGGAAGCTGTTAAGTTTCCGCTTATGACTGGCGTATGTGGTCGACACTTTACTGCCATGTAGGAGCGTACTAAGCACACATGCCTGGTAGACGTTACTTTTTGTTCTTTTAGTTAGTGTAGCATTATTCTAATTTAGCCATATTTGCTCCTACTTTTGCGATCCTGATGTCCATCTCTTCATCAATGGAATGTGAGCCCAAGGTATGTGAAATACTCAACTACTGTACGATTATAGCTATGGCCATCAATAGTTATTCTTGGAGTGGTTTGTGTTTTAGCACTATATAACGTCAGATTAAAAATTATAAACTTGTATATAAGACGCTTCTGGTAGTCTACTTCCATTTCCGGCTGCTTCCCAACAAGCTGGCTTCTTCCTATTCAGCGTATTTGGTACTGAGATAATTTTCGTAGCTTTTTCTATATGTTTTGTATTTTGTGACGCATATTTGGGTATGGGAAATGAGGTTGTTAATGATGTTATGTTTTAGCAGGAGCATCAGTGACGGCGTAGTTATTAATGGTGTGCTAGTAATGGAGCTCTTTATTTAATAAAGAGACGTTTGCTACAAGAATATTGGTTTGTAAAATAATTAATAAAATGAACTATATGTAATATAGTTCTCTATGTTTGAAAGAAAGTATGGTTCAATAGTGACCTCAGTAGAATTTTGGTAGCTGTGCTGTAACTGTGATAGCTTTGCCTAATGTAAAAAATATTGCTTATGTATCTTTGGTTGCACGATTCTGCAGTGGAAGGAGGACTTGTATTTTATCTTTCTTACATGATATCTCTCAGATCACCAACAACTCACAAGAAATGTCTCTCAGATAATAGAAATCTCACAACACATTGTTTCTAAGATCAGCAACAACCCACAACAAGATGTCTCTCAAATCATCAAAAGCTAGCAAATTTTTAAAATGAAATACTTTTTAAAAAAAATAATCAAAGAACTGCGTTGTTATGATATTTGTATGACTATGTTTCACTAATTACTTTTCAAATTAACTGACAGCTAATTTATTTTACAACTCTGAAGTTGATACAATTTTTTGCTTATATATTACTTAATCTTACCATTTTTTTTTTCAATATACGCGGTCAATTTAATTTTCAATACTTTGATTTTTTTAAAGGTTTTTCATACGGTAACCTGTACTATTTAATTTGCCTTCACATCAACCGAACTTTTTTTTAGCACGGAGAATTTTACCCCATATTAAAGTGGAATGAAACTGAAAATATAATTATACTAACATATTTTTAAAATAATAAGATTCATATGAAGCTGTGTGCCGAGTTGTTGAATGGTTGGTAGCAATAACATTTAAATCTCTCTAGAACTTAGGAAACGAGATCTTCAGAATTAAACATTTTTATTTGAACACAGAAACGACGGAAAGAAGAGGTCAAAGATAAAGGACAGTATCTGAAAAGATATAAACAGTACAGATTCTTAAATGTTCTCACTAACATTGAATTACACAGCTAACAATAACATGGTGAATACATTTACCGTAAGAGGTTATAACAAACGTAGTTAACTATCAACACAAATACATGATGACCATAGAGTACTTGTTATACAAATATACTTAAGTAAGAACACAGATACATGATGACCATAGAGTACTTGTTATACAAATGGCAATTGAAATTTTTCTTTAAATAATGTTTAATGATAAAATAAATCATGTGTTAGGGTTAATAAACTTGTAGCACGCTTACTGTCTTACATTCAGAATCAGTGTGAGATGTGTTGGCTCACATACAGGTGTGAGATGTGTTGGCTCACATACATGTGTGAGATGTGTTAGGGCTAACATACAGGTGTTTGATGAGAGGGACAACCTACAGGTGTTAGATATGAGGGCTTACATGCAGGTGTCAAATAAGAGGTCGAACATACAGGTGTGAGATGTGAAGGCTAACATACAATAAAGGTGGGAGATGTGATATCCATCATATAGGTGTTAGATGTGAGGGCTTACTTACATGTGTGAAATTTGAGGGCAAACATACAGGTCTAGAAATTACTATTTTACTGTCGTCCATGTGTGGAGTCTGTGTGTGGTGGCTATGTGTGGTGTCCATATGAGACGTCCATGTGAGACGTCCATGTGTGATATCTATGTATAATGGCTATGTTTGAGGTCAATTTGTGGTGTCTGTGTGTGGTGGCTGTGTGGTCTCCATTTGAGATGTCCATATGTGATGTCAATGTCTGGTGTCCATTTAAGGTGCCCATTTATGGTACCCATGTTTGGTGTCCATGTATATGTCCATATGTGGTGTCCATGTGTATTGTCCATCTATGGTGTCCATTTTTGGTGTCCGTGTCTGATGTTCATGTGAGATGTCCATATGTGATTTCCATGTGTCGTGTCGATTTGTGGTGTCCATTTAAGGTGCCCATGTGTGGTGTCCATGTGTGTGTCCATATGTGGTGTCCATATGTGGTGTCCATGAATGGTGTCCATTTGGGGTGTCCGTGTGTGAAGTGGCTTCCATGTGTAGTCTTTCTGTCTTGTGTCCATGTGTGGTGTCCATGTGTGGTGTCTATGTGTGGTGTCCAGGTGTTGTGGCAATGTGAGATGCACAATTTACTTTTTGGGAATTTACACATTACAGAACTCTTAACACAGATGTTTTAGATATATTCGCTGGCTGGATACTGTTGTCTCAATCCCTTTTATTATATGTGCTTGTAGTATATGTAACCAGAACGATCTAACGGTTTGTCTTTAATTCTAAGTAAGATTTAATCGTATAACTGTATGTTCAACAATCAGAATATTAATGTTACGAGATAAATCGACTTTCAAATTGAAATGAGTGAAACAAAGTATGGAAGAGTCTGAAAAAGGGAACGCATCAAAACGACGAACGTGTTGAAACGACGCCTTCATCAGCGAACAAAGAACAGTAAACATCAAACAGAAAAAAAGAATCTCATTTAGCACAGATTTCGGGAATTTTATGTCACCAAATCAGCGGAACCTGGTAGCATTAAGACTGGTAGCATTAAGACTGGTAGCATTAAGACTGGTAGCATTAAGACTGGTAGCATTAAGACTGGTAGCATTAAGACTGGTAGCATTAAGACTGGTAGCATTAAGACTGGTAGCATTAAGACTGTTTTTTTGAGGGTTGGGGTGGGGTTGAAAATTTGATAGAATGTGTTGTCACCGACAATGAGTCTAGGTGCCAAGTTTCAGCTCCATAGAATGACGGGAAGTGGGTCAATGGACCGTTCGAAGATTTTTATCTTAAACGTGATGAAAAGAACAAAAGCAAAAATAAATAAATGATTTAAAAGAGGAGAGTGCAGGTCCATGCTTGACCGTGTCTTAAGTGGCACATTTCAGTTAGTAATAAAGTTATCACTGATTACACTATAACTATAACCGCATTATTGGAAGATGTACGTAAGTAGAGACCGACCGAATTTCGAATCGGTTTCAGCACCAAAAGTTGACTTTTGATCACTTTCGGTGTGGTTTCGGTTTCATCCGAAATTTATTTTTAATTTGCGGTCTGGTTCGGTTTCGGCCGAAAGCAGAAAATCACTTTCGGTTGGTCTGTTTACACAAGCCAACAATGTCAACCCACGTGACACTAATAACTTGACCACTGCAATGACAACATAAACAACACCAGTTGTTGACCACAGATTACAACCGTCGTTGGTTTACGACGCCGACCCTGAACAGCCTCTTCATTTCTTTTCTAAACGTTTGATTCATGAACGCGTAGATCAGAGGATTGGCTACATTGTAAAAGAAGTAGGCGTAAAAGACCAAGCTTTGGTAAGGGATGACTTTTATGGCCATAAGCCACGCGGGCAGGAAGCACAGCATGAACACGACCGTCACAACAAACAACATGGCCGCTGTTCTCACGTTGGCCGACAGCATCGATTCTGCGCGATCCTTGTCATTATTATTGACTCTATCGATCTCATATTTCGCTCGACC